GCAGTTATGTTGAGTCTTTTTGATTATCTCAGGGGTTAGATAAACAATAGGAAAATTGAAAATGATTCGGGTGCATCCATTATAAGGTTTCTAAATTTTAAGTACTTTATTATTCTGTATTTACCAGTTCTCTCTTCTATCCCAGTAGTAGATTTCCTAAACAACTTAAGCATATTCAAACTACTAAAAATCGTTTATGTAAAGGAATTTAAATCGATTTGGGATTTATTGTAAACTAGGGAATTGGGGATAAATATTTTGTCCTCATACGTTTAGCCCCATACTGGATCTTAAACTGCTGTCTTTGATCATCCGAATCTTAACAGAGTCGTAGGTACTCACTTCTAAATACTTCTATACCAAGACGAAGCACATGTTCATTATCTCTCGATTCTCAATGGTTTAATGGCTCATGTCAATCAGCAAAGAAAATTGCTTTAAAAATCAAACGCATTTTTTTATGTTGTGCTGTGAAGTGGAGCTATGTGAATAAGCTTTACCCTCTTCGATTTAGGAGACTGTGTGTTAACACTAGTTTCATCCGAATGTTAAGTTTGTAAACTCTTAGCGTCTGAGTTACATTGAATTGAATTTATCATATATTTAAACAAATAAACATTAGTACAGTGGGTTACCAAACCACACATCACTGAGTTTGTGTGTGAACTGGGATACTGTTTGTGTGACCAAACCGAAGCAGGTGGTTTTCTTAAGAGGTCACTCCACGAACCTTTGATTTAGAGATCTAGTCCATAACGTAGTGAAGCAACGCTAGGAAGTGCGATCTCATGATAGCCAATGATCAAAAATAATACGTCAATTTTTCCTTCAGGATCCTGGATCCCATATGCACCATTGGTTTGGAATTAGAGTTTTCCAACTTCTCTGGGTGGAACCTCCGTATCCACCAACCCGGTCTTAGAACCGGGCACTCGCTTTTCGTCCTTAATTTCGTAAACAAAACCCCTAGTGATGAGGAGGCAATGAATAGGACTTCCCTGTCAGTGGCTGTATGCACATGGCCATATAAAAGCATCAAGTTAATTGTCAATAACGCTGTTTGTTCTCTCTTAATCAGCTGTTATACTCTCTTGAATGATAAGCATTCAGAAATTGTCATATTTTCATAAAATTGTATATGTTTCTTTGTTCTTTAGTTTCAGTTATCTGTAGTATATCTAGATGATTCTAATTATAACTACCATAATGCAATCATAGTTGAGTGAACTTCTTATAACTCATGCATATTTTATTAAACTTACGAACCAATCTAAGTTATCCAACCATTCAAAACTAGAAATAGTGCCTAGATCAATTCATGATTTCAATAAAATTCAACAATCTGTACATTCCCCATATTGATTGATGCTTATTCTTTGTTTCCATAATACAGACCATATATTTCTGTCACTAGTTAAGAATGTGTTAAAAGACATATGTATATACAATGCATAGATCTTTCACACTTGTACCGTAGTTTTTCTTATGTGAATTCATTTTTAGTATTGTCAGGTGGCCGGTAGACGAACAAAAAACTAATCAGCTTACTATTAGTATTTCTATCCCCAAAAAATTAGAATTTTAAGGAAGGAATTGTGATTCAAAGTGGTACAGAATACTATTCTTAGTATTTGTTATCATGTAGCTTGAAAACTATTGGTTAAAATCCTAAGCCACTTGATTAGCTAGTATAGTATAGATGTCAGTTTCCAAATAATCTCTTTTTTTGGATATTGAAAATTCCCATTTTGTGAACTAGATTAACATGCATCAGCGAACAGTATTGTTTCCAATTAGATCCTAATCAGCCCTTACCCTAATACACCATAATATTTGTATGGAATCATTAAAACAATCAAGGCAGTTTATGATTGGTTGTTTGTATTCCCTTAATTTCCTACTGTTTTCTTTCTACTAGCTGTTGATTAATGACAGTGACTGATTAGTATTTTAATTTTTTAGAAATCGTTCATAACACAATATATTTCATTATCGTCTATATTCACACAACATTTAGTGATTCACATAGGTTATTAACACAGTAATACATCCTGAAAAAGTACCGATTTGGATTATGGTAATAATGTACTGTCATCTCTAGCAGTGAATGAGTCATGTAAACAGTCATCGAGATGTGATGTGATTAGCCAAGAAAACCGATTTATGTGACATGGAAATCAGACACGGATAATATAGCGAAACGTTTGTGGTGTATAGTGAAATCAATAAAATTTAAACCGTATTGACATAATTATGATCTAATAACAACTTGCTTATCCGCTATTTTATGACTGATTCATTGGGCGGCCAAACCTAAACATGGCAGAAATCCATGACGTTATTGACGTGTGGACTTAGCCATGTCGGTAGTTTTCGACTACCTGGCTGGGGTCCGCGAGATGATACTATTCGATGGTTAGAGACCCTGAATGACATGGCTCAAAACCGTTTGCAATGGCGCCGGTACATTCGTTCTTTTGTTCTCTCAAATCCTAATCTTCTGGATTCTTCAACACCTCTAGTTTTGGATTTCTAAACTTTTCTCACTGAATCATACTTCTTGAATAATATCTTCTAATTCTAACCTCTCCGATTACTTCTAATACCTTCACTACCTCTTCTACTATTACATTTGAATTGACAATTATATCCCTGTGCTGATAAAGTATGGCAACATGAACTGATGTGTGTACGTACGAAGTTCTACGTTGCATCTGACTGACTGATTCATTGTTTATGATCTCCATATAGATTTTTAAAGCCTCCTGAGACGAGTTATAAATCGCTCGTTGTTAGCAACGTTTGGGATAATTTGGGCAAATACTGAACTGTTTTATTCTATCGTAACTCCTTGTTAAGTCTAAGCACTGAACGCTTGTCATATTGGATTCTTAACTGTTTCCTATACTCCAACTACATTACTAATCTTGAAGAATAGAAAAAGTCCAAAATTTGCAATTTGATTAAGTCCGAACATTTTTGGGTGTTGGAAAGTAATTATTCACGTGTCGCACCCATGTGATTTTGAGATGGTTGACAAAATTTGTAGCTCAGGTGGATAATTTTGGTGATGTTTCGTTCTTTGAGCTGGGTATTTTGGTTGTGAAGCTTTCATTGTTCTTCTTCTGAACAACATCAGAAGAAGAACAATGAAAGCTCCACAACCTAAACATTCAGCTCAGTGAACAAAATATCACCACGGTAATTATTGACAGTTTCTAAGACTGTACCATCGAATTTTATTCATACCATCGTTAATGCCTAGACTAGTTCAAAATAAGAAAATACAAAATGGTTTTTTTAGTTTAAAAATAGCCTCATGAACTTTTATATACAAAAATCAAATTTCACTTCATTCTAATAACATCACCCGTTAGCTATTTCTAAATTTTACATTATCACACACATTAGATGAGAGAAAAACAAATCATCTAACCATAAACTTGAATAAATTATTTACTCTACTCAGAGTTGATGCAAATTAATCTAAACACTTGAATGACATTTACTTTTGAATATAGTAAATTTTTTTCGTTCATCAAATTTATTGACATTCGCAAAAATACCATCAATCTTAATGTAGAACTAACTATCTATGTTAATAAAGTTCATCAAAGATTTTTACGAAACCATTTTCTCTGTCTCTATACATATATAAACATATATATTTCATTTACTGAGTTGTGAATATTTACCTCCAGAGAAGTTTGTAACAGAATAAAAGTACACGTTTATTATTGTATATATTGTACTACATTTTTTTTTCTTGAACGATCAATTAAAGCCTAATAGAGTCATAAATGCATATTCATCATTTTTCTTTAGACAATCTTCTTTTCATCTTCTCTTATTCCATTTATATTGTGTTTATTGGTATGTGTGTGGTAGGTGTAATAAATTGAAAATTTTGTGTACTTTAATATGATAAAGACAATGACTTCTTTCCATTGAAATTTTGTTGTTTGATAGATTACTACCTTATTACTATATGTGTTCCATTTGTAAACATGATACTCTTATAAATGTCACTTGAACTCGTGGTTTTTTAACATTAGAAATAATGCATGATATTGTACAAAATGTTAATTTGCGTATGTATTTCAAATATCATATTGTAATCAATCGTGACTTTTTGTAATAAATTAGGTGTCTGTAACATCGTCAACAGTCATGTGGTGGTTGCTACGCATCATGAATCAACGCATAACTGTTTCCCTTTATTTCAAACTTATAATCTTTCGTGTCATCGTTGTCAATGCTTTCCAAGATTATCTTATAATTTGCGAAATTATTTCTGCTACAGTAGACTAGACCATTTGTTCAATATATACAGATAATCGGTTGCATACCAATTATTATTGTTATGTAACCTTGGATAAGAACCACTTTTAAACTGATGAAAAATTAACCTGCAGCATAAAAATCAATCTATAGTTCTCATTTCTATTAGCGAAGGTGTAATTTGTTAATAAAATGATTAGCAGAGGTTTGATTCAGTGCACATTGTAGTAGAATTCATGATCAGATTGTAAGTGTATGCTGTTATAAAATATCTGTCTTTCAGATGGTAAGATTTGTGTTTTTGAGCCGCTGCTAACGTTTTCATCCAACTTTGGATTCATTTGCTTGATTATTTTACCAATAAAGCAATAAATCCTTTACAGCTACCTGTATTTCAGAACTTGTTACCTTTTTTGTTGAAATCATAAACTGATCAATGTCATACCACCATTGAAAATCTGGAAACACAGCGGGAAAGGATCCCTAGGACCTGCGACCGTCCCGTGCTTCCACTATTTCAGTGGTTATCTAGCATTGTTTGGTTCATGATTTCATTCAAACTTAGCAATTTCCGCAACCCTATATTGATTGTCACCTTTTCATTTCTATACTAATTTCATGTGTATAATAGTGAAATATTATTTATTAGCTTTCATCCCCATAAACTTATGTAACCTACTCAGTTTGTACATTTACTGTTTATTAAAACTAAAACACAGGCATACGTATGTTAGATGGTTATATAACGGATAGAGTTGAAGCGGAAACATTACATTTTCGACAGGATTACATTGACATTTACTCAGGAAGTTGGGGACCTGAAGACTCAGGGAAACTATATGAAGGTCCCGGTATACTTGCTCAATCTGCATTCCAACAAGGTGTAGTTACGGTAAGTTTAGTTGTAATAAATATAATTCTCTTTATTATTATTATTATTATTATTATTATTCTATACATATTTTTTCGAATATTTTTGATATGTATCATTACTAAAACTTCTCCACTTATATACAAAATACATATCTGTCTTCTTATTTAATGCAGAGTTGTTTGAAGTCCCTTGAAACTATTTAGCCAACTATGATATCATATCAATAACATATATGATTCGATAATGAAGAAGATACATACATATGCATATATGAAGAAATCTTATATAGTTGATAATATTTTTTATATTTTATGTGAGATTTTCTCTTTATGTCTTGAATAATTTTTGGTATTTTGCTTCATATAAAGTAATTGTATACTAGACTATTTCTTTAAAATACTTTATGTTGCATTTTCGAAAGAAACCATTTCTTCACATTTTAAAATTAAAAATTATAAATATGTAAGTCGTTAGTTACAAGTATCATTTTGTTGGCCTTCTGAATGAAATATATACTGAACAGTGTTGAACAGTGCTTAGAAAACCTATCTTCATTGGTATGAAAGTTCAAAGGGGGGGGGGGGGGAGAAAGTTGTATGGGTTTTACTTGTTTTTTGATTTTCTAATAGCAATGGAAGGTTTCTTAATACCACTCCAATAAACAAATGGCTTGCATTGCAGTATTTTGTTAACGTGAAAATTGGAAATATGAACCAAGACACCACTAGCTTCTCGTAGGCTGTTGACAGAGATGTGAAATGAAAAATACGGCTCAGCTAGACAATAAGAATCAATGTTTTGGAGATTTCACTTCATTTACTGTAGTCAAAATTGTTATTGATCATTTGATAAATGTTGAATATGTAAATTCTCATCTTTATCCATGTTACTCAAGATTATGTTTTAGCTACAGTTTCTTCAGGCATTTTATCTGTATAGCGCTGCCTAGTGTACAGCCTAATCTTAGGCTATTCCTTTATAGTTTTCTTAACTATCACTTATTAAAGACATAGTTGAATCAGTTCTGTTCACTCTGTAATTATCACTGTGATTATCTGCGTGCACATGTTCTATTCTCACAAACCCTATTTCATCTTTCTACTGTTCCATAACTGCTTTTTAATAAGATATATATCCATTTAGTTAAGTTGTTGAATTTTAACATGTCATATAATACTTAAGTTTGTTTCCAACCACTGCAAATTAACTGAATTCGGAATTATATCATTGGACGCCATCCCAGTGGCTGTTCTTTGATATGCTTGAAGATTCTGGGTTTGACTCCTGATAGGTTGATAGGTTGGTACTGTTGAGTAATCTGTTACCGAAATAAAATAGTTGTTCAGTACTTCTTGATTTTTAATGGTACCCCAAATATGATCAATCCACAATTGAACACTGTCTAAGAGCTAAATCAGTCTCTACAATACTTTAAATAAACGTATTGTACCTTATATTCTTTCTTTCGGATACTTAACATATCTTAGTGCCAAAATACTTAATTCTTTGGACAATTTTCCTCTCTAAATTCAAATTATTTCTATCAATCTAATTGTATTTAATTTATTCGCAAAGAAAGAAATAAAGATAGTTGGGAAAATAAAGAGAACGAAGTTCCTCTGTAACAAAATAGCTTTCTGTGTTGTTGTATATACCTTCGCAATCTTCACCATAATGTCATATCATTAACACCTTACGTAACTGTATAACTTATTGACATTATCTACTTCTAATTTCTGAGTCAAATATTTAGAAATTGTTGGTTAATTTAATGTAGCATATATCAATAATTGAACTGTGAAAGACTAATTTATGCATGCATTTTAATTACTTGTTCATTTAAAAACTCGATAATGATAAGTAGAATAATCTAGAACTTCGTTAGTTGAATGGTATTACTTTTGAACTGAACACTAAATTACGTGTACTGCCAGATTTTCGAGTAAAAAACACTGAGACCAATTAGTTGGTTTTTAGATTCTTTTTCATTTCTTTCAAACTTTTAGTACCTTGTTTGATGATGTTAGCGTAAGCCAGAACTGCTGTAATGTCGTATCAATAATAATACTACAGCTCTATCAGTTGACCAATAGATTACTTAGCTCACGACGTGATATGATTGGTGATTTATCGACCAATCAGGCACGAAAGTTGACGGTTTTTCCAAATAACTTTGAATTCTAACGAAAGTTTCTAGTGTACAAATAATAATTTCATTACATTTAACTTTAGTTATATATTAATGTTACTGTTGATAGAAATTGGTAAGTTGCCAAGGGAATCAGATTATATTGTTCACATAATAGAACAGTTCCGACCATCTTCGAAATCGATCTACGAAATAGTTTGCTTTTTATAAATATAGTGAATGGTAAATTGCAGAGTGTATGCAAAATCTTGTCATGTATTGACATTTTATCAATTCTTTTCAACGAGAAAGCTTTTTACAGTATTAACGCTAAAGTTATCCTTAATATTTGAAAATGTATTTCGTGCTTATGCTGCTTTCAGTATGTATCTCACTAATGTAATTAACACAGGTTTTTATAAATAGGTGTTAGGAAAGGATAAAATAAAAAGCTTAGTTGTTTCGGTTTCAGCCACCAGTTTTCCGTGGTTATATCTATGTTTCTAATGCGGCAATTAGCACGTCATAATATTCGAACACTAAGTTATAACTGATGTCAACATTTCCATCCGCAGTGCTGATCGAATTCTGTTAATCATATTCCAACGTGAACAATAATGCAGATGATGCAATAAAGCGGTGCAGTTCGTCGGCAGCACTGGAAAAGTAGTAGCTGAGCTCATGATTTACGGCAATATTTCGGGATTCGAACCGATACCCATCACTTTGTGATGTAGTCAAAAGCCTTATCAATAAGCAGCTGTGTGGCATGCAACTAATCTGTCGTATATTCGAGGCATTCACACTAAGTTGATCACCGACTAGTCGAGACACATTTCTATTCTAAATACTGAACATTTGGTGTTTAGATGTAATTTATCATCATGCTATACTTTCTTATCACTTTGAAGTCACTGACAAGTGGACTGAGTCATGTTAGTAGACTACCTGGTTGGGGTCGGCGAGGCGAAAGTCACCAATGGTTAGAGACCTTGAATGACATGACTCAAAATCGTTTGCAATGGCGCAAGTGCATCCATTAGTTGAGCTCTCTCAAATCCTAATCTTCTGGAATCGTCAGCACCTTTACCTTTGTCTTTCTAACCTTATCTCACTGAATTATACTTCTTGAATAATATCTTCGAACCCTAGTCTTCTTCATTACCATTAATACCCCTACTATTTTTATCACTATGGGATTTGATTTGACATTTGCGTCTCTGTGCTAATGTGGTATGGCAACATGAACTTATGTACATACGTACGAAGTTCTACGTTGCAACTGACTGACTGACTTCTTATCACTTGTCGAACAAAGCCTACTTGTCAACTTGAAATTTATCTCGTTTTTAATTAATATTCCCCATTTATTTTTGGGTCTCTCATGTCATAACAAATAGCTAACCATCTGCTTTAGTCCCCTCTCTTTATATATTGACTAGTTTCTGTATTAAAGTGATTACCGAATTACAACCCCTTGGTATAAGCAGTAGAATCCAAGACTGAGGTTTCGTCCTATTTACGACTCAATAGTTGGGTGTACCTGCACTTCAGAGTTGTTGTTCACTCTGAGACTCGAACCTAGTACCTTTCACTCCAAACGCCATTGCGTTACCCACCTAGCTAATGAGTCCAATTAACCACTGGCTTGTGCAATGAGATAGAGTTTACTTCATTTGTTTTGGTAGTTTGGATTTTCCCATTGATCTTTAGAGTTGATCGAATTCAGTCATAAATATCAGTGGGTGGGTTCAAACTACCGATACAAATGGATTACAACGTATTATGTTTTATCATTTTATTCTACATCCGTCGAGCTTTGTTTTGTTGTTTAGGATTAGGTTGGAAGAAAGCTAAATTTCTATGTTTAAATTTCCCCAGTATGCATCAAAAATGGCATGGTATTTTTGAATGTTATCTATTTCTATATTAAAGCAGTATCATTATTTACTTAATAAAATTGCCATAGGGCAGTCATTTCAGCTGGCTGAATACATTAAGTCGATGTTTGCTCACTCTTAGTGAAGCAGGCTAATAAAGTTACATATTAATTATTCAGTGGTTGTCCGATATTATTCATCAAGTTAACATGATCAAAACAATGATTTGACCTACTGCAAAATGTTACATGTTTTATTGTCATGTTTAATCTTTTCTTCTCCGTCTATGGATTCCACTAAATGAGAATATAAAACAATAAGTCACTGATCAAACTGTCTGAGTATCAAAAGTATATCACAAATTAACGAAACTGAAAAATGTTGAACTGTGATTCCACTATCTAAAACCATTATGCTCATAGCAATATTCACAGCTTCTGGTGTTATTATTCATAATGTTGTAAGAAATGTTCCGAAATTAACTCGAGACTTATCTTCAGTATTAGTGGATTATCAAAAAAAAAAACTTTTCGAATGAAAATTAATCCCAAACCTCAATAAATACATTGACATAGGATTCATATCCAGTTTTATTATTTATGTAAACTATCTCTACTTTTCAGTAACTCAATCTGTTCTACATTTATTTGTTATATTCTGTAAATAAATATTAAATATTTAAAAAAAAAATTTAAACCACTGTAATTTAAATGTCATTCAATTTAATTTTTCTCTCTATTTAAAAAAAGAAATGTATAATATGCATATGTATTTTTGTTTATGTACAGCTATGTAGAAGAGTTGTTTTTGTCAATCACTTTTGTGTAATCTTTTACCACTAAGAAAAATAGTTATTGATGAATTTTTAAATTCAATAATAAAAAAAATAATCTACCTCGTCTCAGTTAGGAATAAAAGAAATCGACCAATGCAAAACAATATCGATTATGATGATTGTGTTGAAGGTAATAAATTAATAAATTAATTAATGCATATATTTGCAGACAGACAGACAGATACAACGCAGAACTTCGTACGTAAGTACATCAGTTCAGGTTGCCATGCTGCATTAGCACAGAGATGCAACTGTCAGTTCAAATCCAAGAGTGATAGCGATAGTAGAAGTATTAGCAGCAATGGAGAAGATTAGGGTTCGAAGATATGATTCCAGAAGTATAATTGAGTGAGATAAATTTAAAAAGAGGAAGATAGAGATGATGCGGAATTCTGAAGGTTAGAATTTAAGAGGACACAAAGAGTGGATGCACCTGCGCCATCGCAAACGATTCTGAGCCATGTAGTTGAAGGTTTCTCTCTAACCATCGGTGACTTTCGTCTAGCGAACCCCAACCAGGTAGCCTACATCTACCAATATGTCTCAGTCCATTTGTCAGTGACTTCATGGATTTGTGCCATGTTTTGGTTTGTCCGCCCCCAAACTTCTTCCAACCTACTCCTACTCATATTTGTACTGACATTAAAGCACCAAACCACTTGTGATTCATCATTAGTAGAGAATTGTTTCATCCTAGTTTGTGTGTTACTGCTCCCCAGTTCATCGTTAAGCATCAAATCCCAAACCCTAAAACATTGTATTAGGTGCATTATCTTTAGATTACTACTCAGTTGACATTTCTCCTATTACATACAGTCATCTGAAACATGATCTGGATTGTAATACCTGATGATGATTTTCATTTGATGACATTTGACGAAATTGAAAAAAATTGATTAGTAGATAATGAGATCATTAATTGTTAATGTTACAAAACTAGGATTGATACATCATCACGACCGATCCTAATATGTCCAGTTTGTTTTACATTTTTACATGTTCTTTCATCTATAGAGTAAATACGGTGTGTTGATTATCTATTAGAATCTATATATAGGTGTGAATTGGTTTTAAGATAAGTTCCTTTCCCGGTTTGTTTATCACAGATGAAATAAAAAAAGCTAATTACTAAACTCTGATATTTTTGGTTTTGATACATTTCTAGCTTTCTATCTAAAATCTTTCATTGGTCTTTTTAACAGTTTCATCTACCCTAGTGCTATATATAGGTCAGTCAGTCAGTCAGATGCAACGTAGAACTTCGTACGTACACACATCAGTTCATGTTGCCATACCACATCAGCACAGAGAAGTAATCGTCAATTCAAATCCAATAGTAGAAGAGGTAGTAACGGTATTAGGAGTAATCGGAGAGGTAAGGATTAGAAGATATTATTCAAGAAGTATGATTCAGTGAGAAAAGTTTAGAAAGACAAAACTAGAGGTGTTGAAGAATTCAGAAGATTAGGATGTGAGAGAACTCAAAGAACGAATGCACTGGGGCGATTGCAAACGGTTTTAAGCCATATCATTCAGGGGCTATATATAGGAAAACCTGATTTCGTATTATAAATACAGATTGATTCACAATTTGTCATCATTTATATTCTAAATTTGTTCAAGTTAGGAAAAATCATTCCGATTTTTGTTAAATACTTCCTGTTTAATTTGTTTATAGGCCTTCTCCTCTGTCCATTCAAATATATATATATATATATATATATATATATATATATATATATATAATCGTATTCATTTACTTGTCCTGAATTTCGTTCTCTAAAACTATGTGACACTGATTTAGTTATTCTAAACACGGCACTGTTTGTTTGTTTTTTTCATTTCGATAATTTTTATCAACGTTTATTGTGCTGTTGTTGTTGTTGTTATTATTAACTTCAATTTTGATTTATTAATAATATAAACGAGTAATTGAAATTAATGAGTAATTAACTAATTAATCCTCTCTATATTCCATGATACTGTGATGGTTATATTATATATGAATCATTCAATTGTAGTAATTTGTAAAATGGAATTTTCAACCTACGTATTACTTTAGAAGGGGTGATTGATTACATTTGTAAAATTGTCAACTTCAGTAATCTTGTTGTTATTTCCGATATGTGTTTTATAATATGATAGGATGATCGGTTTATTACATTTCTATATTGTATTTTCTTTCTAATGAGTTGCATTGAAACCATTTGCATAGAAGGAGAAAAATGGAACATCATCTACAGAAATAAACTGTTTCAGTTGTGACCAACATTACATCGAACTAAGTGGGCGCCTCCTTTATCTTCGCCTGGATGAAAATCAATTTGCAGTCAGATGCCATGATATACGTTTGCTGATATCAATCAACTTGGACAACTGTGGATATATGTTAGACTGAAAAAATGTCAACCTTCTGGGTAGAAAGAACACTAAGAATACCAAGGAATTTTTAGAAACTTGGCGCTCACATCAATCAGCAATCGAAAAAACACATCAACATTGATCCAGTTTGTCAACCTATCAGAAAAATCATGGACAAATATAGGATCAAAGGAAGATACAATCAAAATGAAGAAGCAGATAACATCAGACTACTGGGGATCAAGGTCAACAGGACAAGCTGAGAGTCATATATGGAAAAATTCGGATACTTCACTTCTACATAGATGTTATATTGATGATGTTGTTAAGAAAAAGACACTGAAAGGTCTATAACCAAACTATCCAGCTCATAGAACAAAATTCCACCAAAATGAAATATTATTTTTGTAACTAATGTTCATAACTTCAATTTTGGACATACACTAATAGTTCCTACCAAAACTAAATTATTTAGAATATATTGATTATATTGTCTGGAACTTTTCCTTTATTAGTTAGATTATTTTTTGTTTGTTTTTTTCCACTTGGCTTCATCTTTTTATATACCTGATAAGCAACAGGAAATGTATTTATTCAGGAAATCCACAAAAAAATGAACATACCTTTATACCCATAACTCACACTTCTATTCTTTAGATTGTTTTAGGTTTTTGGTGTTTTGATGGTGTTTATATCAAGTAAATTTGCTCTATTAGCTTATTAACTTAAAATTTTTGTACATAGTTTACGTTTTACAAGACTTATCCTTTTTCTTGGTTCTCTCTTCTCCCTTCTTTCCCTCTTGTGATTGATGTTGTCTCTCTCTTTCTCTCTTCTTTGTCTACATGAGTCATTGAAATTTTTTTGACATTTTACTATTGGTTACTTCCTACATCTTACCAATGACCTAGATGTCACATTTTGTACATCATCATTTTATTCTTCTAACTGCGTTGTTTTTGCTCTACTAGTTTGGTTTAGGTCTTTACTTACTACTCCTATATCACCTCAAAGCCATAGTAAGCTCGACAGGTTTCCTAGTAAGCAGCGCATTTATTGAAGAATGTTAATCAGTTACTCTACTTGTATCTGTCTATATGGCATCACATTTTATAACTTTTGGAGCGTATATGTGCCGACATTTGGGACGCATTTTTATTATTTGAAACGCTTTTATTTAGGAATCATCTGTAATGCATATCAACATAGTATATGTGTTTTAAATATCATTATGTCTTCTCTCAGGTCAGATATCCCTAAAGATATTTATCAATGTCTATCTAACCGTTTCTGTTTGCTGATACTAAATGTTATTCAAAATGTTATTCATTAATTATGAATTTCAAAAATAAAACTGGGCTATTTTTTCTTCAAATAACATTTAGAATAGTTTATTATTCAATCTTTTAAATTTTTTTATTTATGAGTAAACAAAAACTCAATAATGTTTTGGGCTAAATAAGTACATTTAGTTTAATTTAGTGTATAAGGATACACGTTATTTTTGCGAACTAATAAAAGTGCAGTATCTCAAATTGTTAAGCACTTTTTAGTCAATTTCGTATGTTACTGCTGCATATAAGAATGTACTTTACACTAGGAACTTCAGTTTTAGCGATTTAAAACTATATGTCTTGAGTGACCACACCTATGTACTGTATCCGAACTTATCGGATAAAATGAAATCCAATAAAATAGAAATTGTAACTTGTAGTAAAATCCTCAGTGAGATTTATTCTTTTATATGTGGCATACATTCATTAACTGAACAGAGAAATTCTTGATACTTTTCACTTAGTGAACATTGAGAAGCTGATATGATACACTGATTTACGAACTCCTATTATTAGCCGTATTTAGTTATTCGATTGATTTGATAAAGGCGATAAGAGCGTTGAATCGAACTTTCTAAATTAAATTTTTATTGATTTTTTTATTGCTCCCTTCGCTTATAATCTTTATCATCATCAACAATGGCATCAGCAAAGCATATTTGTAACTTCTATTATATTATTAATTAAAGCTTATACTATGTTTATGTTTGCTTCGATCGTTCAGGGATAGGGACAAAGTTTTACGTCAAAATATATATGTTGAAACTATTAACAGTTTAGTGTTTAACATAAATTCTTTTTTTTTTCTAAGTGAAACTATTTTCTGGTAGTTTAAAAAAATATCACAAACTAACGTATCGGTGAACTAATCGCCTTGCATTGTTTTTATAGCCTGTCAAATACATTCCAACATGTAGAAAATGACTATAATCTATTTAATATATTCTGACCATGTTGATCAGTAATATTTTGACAACTGGTGGATTGTCTTTTCTTATTCCTCTACTTTATTGATGATATATTGTTAGTTCTTTGACATTTTCTATCGCGGATTAACATTAGTTAAATAGTTATTGAAAACCAGGGAATGTTTGATCGTTCTTTTGTCTATTTGTAGAACTTGTCAGAAGTGTACATTGATGACTATACTCAAAATCGAACCATGGCTCTTTTCGCCTCTTGTTGAAAGTTCCACCTGTAAATCTTCCAATCGGCATTTTCAATGGCTTATATTGCTAACTTCAAACAATTCACTGACACATTTTACTGATTGCAGCTTCAGATTAAAACGCCAGTGAATTTTTTTTTGTTTTCATGGAATCCAGGACGATTGGATAAGTCAGTTGAATGTTCGTTACCAGATTAGAATTTGATGTTTGTGTTTTTTTTTTTAAAATCAACTTTATTCTATTTTTATACTTAAACTGGTTGTTATTTTTCTTACTTTTTTTTTGTAAAGGGTCGACGAGGTTTCGGCAATATTTATGTTTGGGCATCAGGGAATGGTGGTTCACTAGATGATTCATGCGCTTGTGATGGTTATTCAAGTAGTCCATTCACTTTATCGGTTAGTGGTGTTGGTGAATCAAATACACGTCCATGGTATTTAGAAAAATGTTCATCAACTTTAGTCAGTACTTATAGTAGTGGTAGTCCAATGGAAAGAATGATTGTAAGTTGATGGATGATTATGTTGTTTGTTAGTTTGATTGATTGATATATGCATAGATTATTTTAATATAAAATTACTGTTTTAATTGTTTGAGTGTACTGTTTTTCCCCTTTTTCTTTGTCAACTTTCATTAAAGCTTAAAAAAAATTTTGTTAGAAAGCTGTGTTAACTTTTTTAGCGTCACTAATAAATGACTTTTTTGTATCCAGATATTACTTGTGATATGTTTTTGTTATAATGCTGCTATGTAGCTATTCAAATCCTACCAACGTCCGAATGCATATATTCCAATACGACCCAAATGCTATTCCCAAATCTATATATCAGAACGCAACACCGTTGGATGGAGTTGTTTATTGGGTCGAGTACAGAAGAGAGGTAGGCAGAAAGCAACGGAATCCCCAAAGCTTAACAGATACTGCGTGTTTATACATTCAGGTTGAATAAGAAAGAGTATCGAAGTCTGTGACATTGACAGTTCAGGACGACCAATAGGAAAGAATATTCGAAATGGCATTGACAGTTCGGATGACCAATCAGAGACAACATTGAAGTATTTGACTTTGACAGTTAAAAGGACTACATTTTCGACCAATAGGATTACACTTCCAAAAATAGTACTCTTAGGATATTTGGTGGATATCCTAACAGTTTTATCTCACTCATATTATATGTTTGTATAATTTGAATATTCTGTCAATAAGCGATGAAAAATAAGTATATATGAGATTTAGATATCTATCAATTCTTCGGTGACTTGGTTTGTATTTTTGTTGTCAAATGAACATTGATTAGACATTTGTTTAATTATCCTTACTATTATAAGTTATCTTATATGATCACATATTAATTCTTACATCCTGTTATAGTTAATCAACTATAAATATCGTAATTCAGTTTTACATTGAAAAATAATTCCATCATTATTTGTCTAATAATCAGACTGACTGTTTATGTTCGATTGTGTAATTTTGTAGTCAGTCGGCTTATATTTGGATAGCAATGTGAATTGTAAGTTTAATTAAGAAGTGGTTATTGGGAATACGAGTTTGACTTTCTGATATTGCGATTACATGTTCAGCCTGTTGGTCACATGACAAACACGATAACGTGTTTCATGACCTCATTTTCGGTCACTGGCAATAATGAATACTTCTGTAAATATAGACTAGTATTGATCTATATCTATACATTAATCACACTTAGTAGGCACCCTTAGTACTCTGATGAAAAATCACCTGAACGTATCAATTTGCCTTATCGATTGTGATGATACTGAATACCTGTCGTTTAAAGTTAATATTTTTATTTCTATCCAAATTGAAGAATTCCTAAGTTAACTAACATGTTTCACTGATTATCTTGTCTATAAAAACGGAACACTTAGACAAGCAAATAACTTATTGATTTTCATGAAAAGTTACAGAAAATCAACAACACATTTATGCATAAAGGGTACATTGGTTTTTTGTGACCTGTTGAGTTTTAACATCAATAACCAGATTCTGTACGTATTTAGATTAAAAATTTTAAATGAATAACGTTTAAAAAATACAGATACTGTAGTACACATTTGTTCAAATCACACACACACACACACACACACGCGCGCGCAAAGATGAATATAACTTAATAGTCACTCTTGTCAAGTTTGTAACACCATCATTGTATGTGACCTAAATTTTTACAACAAGACAATGAATGAATTGTTGTTTATTAAAATGTTCCTAACTTTGTGATTTTACCAACTCTAGCCTATTAGAGTTAGTCGTGTTTAGGTCGTCAAAATTACACAAATGCATACACACACACACACTTGAATTTTTACATGGAGTAAGTATTAAAGAAAGAAAAAAATCTACCTATTGATAACTTTATTACATAAAAAGTTCACCACTGACTGCTGTCATGTTAGTTGTATTCTTTATATTTAGTGTGTAGTCATGCGTATTATTCAAAAAAAATATTTGCACATACCTCCTCTTACGTGTACATATCTACTACATACTTTTGTAAAGAAATTTTCTAGTTATTACCGTTTGTATGTATGCACCGGGTGGTGGTATGTATGTATCATGTTGTCTGAGAATTTCAATAGCTTTATTTTAAAAACGAACAAACTGAATGTATAAACCAAACCACTGGCACTGATCACACTATTATTTTTCGCAATGATTACTCATTCAAGATTTTTATTCTCATTCAAAATCTAATTGACATAAATTTTGTTCATGCTAGACGACGAATTGTCATACACTAAAGTTTAAATATGCAATGAATTAAGGTCAATAATTCAGGGTTTTTTTTGTGTTCTTTATGCCAAAATAATTTCATTGGTGTGTTGAAGTAGACTAAGTTTTTCATATGATGTAGACTAAGTTTTCTTTCCACATGTATTTATGATAAAGCTAGGTGATGAGAATCGAATTCGGTCAATTGACTGACAGGTATATAATATGAACTTATCGATTCGAGAAGCTCGACCATCATGTTCACATTCACAGTGTGATTTCGCTATTATAAATAATGTAAAAATTTTAAGATGGGAATTTTGTAAATATTGTTCAATTTCACATGATCAATTGACTAGTTTAAAATAGACAAAGCTATCGAAAACCGACAAACTCAGTATCTTTTTTTGGCATAAATTTCACTGATGGAAATTCTGTTTAAAATCATTAGTTTATTTCTGTTTTGACTTTATTTTTTTTAAAGATTATCAGTTATTCCTTTAATGGAAAATTTTAAATGATACTTTGTTGTACAAGAATTTCAGTCACATCATTAAAAATAATACCAACAACAGCATGACCAAAAACTTCCCCTTGGAACCATTTTAGCGTTTTCTCTTGTTTCAACCTCAGATAAATGGAGATTGGACATTGGGTTAGCGACCCCGTCCCGTAAAAAACGAACTTGCATAAAACGGTGACCAGAACAAAAAGGTCTTTATTTAGAAGAGTTATGATGATGATGATGATGATGAAATCCAAGTTTCTTCGGAAGTTAAGAGGTCGATGTCCGTTCTGACAACCAGAGCAAGCACTAAAACTCGGTGGTGCTTAGAATGAGTGAAACCCGATGGATGCAGGTTGGACAAAACGATTAGCTTCAGGAAAGATGTCATTGTACTCCGTTCATAAAGAAGAAAGTTCCTCACACACATACATAAAGAGTTGTGCTTATGCTGTTCAAATCCACCTACAGGATGGAACTCTCATGAACCCTAGCTAATCAAAGCATCCTTCAATACAAAAAAAGGGGATGACGATGAACGTTATTTAGTGCTACGCGCTCACCAACGATAACACTGAAGACAATAAAGATCAATTCTGTGAGAGGTTGCAGTCAATCGTAGAGAATTGTCTAGTAAAGTATTTGACCGTTCTGATGGGAGACTTTAACGCTGAGGTTTGAATGGACACCGGATATGAAAATATTATGGGACAGCATGAACTGGAGAAAAGAACGAAAATTAAGCAAATTTATGTGCATTTGGCAAAACAATTAAAGGCGGCACCATATTCCTACATAAAAACGTGCATAAAGCTACATCTGCATCAATAAAAGGTTCAGACGGACCATGGAAGTCATGAGAAAAATGCGAACAACTGGTTTAGCTTCACATCATCATTTATTGTTGGCCAAGAGGAATCTGAAACTAAAGAATCACTGAAAAAGTGGGCGAACAGCATTAAAACAGTTTCATATAGCCTTTGTTCGGGGTACTGATAAACTCAACGAATTCAAGATAGATCTCAGCTACAAGTTCCCAGCCTTTCACGATCTACTGAATGAAGAGGAAACTACCATGGAGAACAACGGGGAAAGGGATTAAAGTAGCAAAAACTTCAGCTTGTCGTGAGGTTTTGAGAGATAAGAAGCACTATTACAAGGAATGAATCTCCGTGGATACTGTGTGTTAGATTCAAGAAAGAAAAAAAGAACAGAAAGACAGCAATCAATAACAGTCGAACAAGAGCTGAGGAAACCAAGGCATCGACCGAATACACAGCATTAAATAAGCAAGTGACGAGGGGCATTAAAGTTGATAAGCGAAAGTATGTGATAGATCTAGCAGTGATAGCAGAAAAGGATGTCAGAGAAGCAATGCCATCATTATATGTGTATATAATCTCATTTGCACATTCTTAAGAAATGTTATTATTGAAGTATCATAAAAGTCATATATTTAAATAATGTAATGAATAATTTTATGAGTACCAAGATTCAAGAAAACTATATGAATAACACCTTTCAATGCTCTCAATGTTGGTTTAAAGTAAAATTAAACCGTTTTTCAACACTTTTCGAGTAGAATATGTAGTTCGAACTTTCTATATGGCTAAAAAATTTAGTATTTTGCTCCGAACACTTTTTTGTACAACATTGCAAAAACTGATTTGTTATCAACCCTACAAACTCGGCTGAACTCATTCTTCGGCAATGAAGGTGTTTATTTTTTTCATTCAATTAGTATGTTCCTTTGTTTCTAAATCTTTATTTTGTTTTTATTTTATAAAATAATCACTCTTTTAGTCCACTATTGATTTGGGTCATGACTGTACTCGTATGCATTCTGGTACGTCAGCAAGTGCACCAATGGCAGCTGGAATTATCGCACTATTATTAGAAGCTAAGTGAGTGAGATTTATTTGATCAATAATTATTATTACTATTAATGTGGTACATTGTATCTAGTGATGAAACATTACAAAAAAGAAAGGTGGTTTGATATGTTGACCAGTAAATTCTAACTCATTCATCGCATTCGGAATTTACGAGTGCTGTTTTTCTGTAGTTGTGGTTTTAGTATACTCAAGAAAAACCTCAAGTGCTAATAAATATCTGTTCGGCACTATCTGATATTATGGTAGTGAATTTTCGTCTATTGAAGTGGTTAGGAACATGTGTTATGCTTATCAAACCACCATTTACCTTGACACGTGATTTTTACTGGTGGGTTGGAATAAAGCTGAGATAAGTGGCCTAGCTAGGATGTGGCATTATTTTATGAATTTACTGACTATTAGATTGAATCTTGTTAGTTAGTGTAAACTACTTGGTTGGGGTCCATGAAATAATTAGTGTCTAAGGTTGGTGATGTTGCATGATACGGTCCAGAATCGATCACAGTAACCCGAATGCATCCTTTTTCTGTCTTAAAAATTTTATATTTTTTAATTACTCGTAATCACTTTTTCTTCTAAGATCATACTGTCTATACTTTTTACTACGACTGATAGAATTAGTACTGCAACGACTTTGATATTTCTAATTATGCGGTATTAGTGTAGCAGCTTAAACCGATGCATTCATGTGTTAGATTCTACGTTGCCTATCACTGATTGACTGATTGAACATAACAGTTCGATAGTAAAACAACGAAATTATTCTTTTTTAGAATTTATTCGTTTTACTTCATGAATTATTTTAAATGAAGATTCTGGTGGAGATAGATGACCATAATATTAACTAGGTGTTCAATAATCTAACTGTTAAACTTTATATATTCTCATCTAATTTTTATTGATCTTTCTTATAACTGTGAGTAGTTTTCATCATTGTTGCGTTTCATTGAAATTATGAATCGATCAATGTTAGACCACTATTTGAAACCGGAAGCACTGGGCGGTCTTTTCATCCTAGTGTGGAACTCATCAGCCGTGCGCATCTACGACCTCCGTCTACGGGAATCGAACCATACTAGGACCAAATGGCCGTTCTCTGTCTCCAAGTTTCTAATGATGATCGAACATTGATCTACTCATGATTTCAATGAAATTACGTGTGAATCAAATTAATGAAATTGTCAACTTACTTGATTGATGCATTGAACTTTCACTTATCTAAACTAAGTTACTGAACATATATAGGTCTATGAATTATTTTTATGTTCATGAAAATTTGGATTAAGTTTGAGGACAACAAAATCAGTCAATCAACAACAACATAGAACTTCGTACGTACGTACGTACGTACATCACTCCAAGTTGCCTTACCACATTAGCACAGAGATGTAATGGTCAATTCAAATCCCATAGTTGTAGAGGTAGTAGAAGTATTAGCAGTAATCGGAGAGATTTGTGTTCGACAATATTATTCAAGAAGTAGAATCTAGTGAAATAAACTTAAAAGAAAAAGATAAAGGAGATAAGGAATTCCAAAAGTTAGGATTTGAGAGAAGACAACATCACTAAGTGATGAAGCCATTAAAGATAAGATTGAACGATAAATATATAAGTACGAACATTTTTATTGGAGTCTGTGTGATATTCACTAGTTCTCTTTGCAAATGTTAAGAGTTACCACTTAAAATCGATTTCAGCCACTTTGATGTATGTATGTGTTGTTTCTTCAAATTTCAAGATTGCAAATTTCATTCATCCCTTAATTTGAACCATATTTCTTGTGTTTTGTGGTTCTTTTTTTCTTAAAATATATACTACTATTGGTATTAACCCAACTGTCATACCTCTTCATCTTATTTGTTAAAAATGTTTTTTCCAGCTGTGCCAATATTTGCTTACTTTTAATCATTGCTTACTGTAGATTGATTTTGTGTGCAGAACATTTATATTCAGTTTATAAATTGTAAGAAATTTTAAAAATGAAACAGCGAAAACTTCATCAGTTTTCTAGTCCAAGAATCTGTTAATATGTAATAATGACAATGATAACTTTATTCTGTTCTACAAATTTTATTACATTCATTGAACTTTCACCCCCTGGTTGTGCAATATTGCAATCAGTGTATCTATTGTAACTATTCAAAACATATTTTATAGGTATTTTTTCGCAGTTATCATCTGCCAATTTTGCTTAGTCGGGGACGTTAGATCCCCAGAACTCACTTGATAAAGGTCCTAATTTTGGATTTTATGTTTTCGAGCATGGGCTGATCAGTTGACCTTGAGATTACATTTCCCACCCGGAAAATCCTTGGCTGTTATATGTATTTTTGTGGCTCTCCCAAGGACGTTTCTATGATGTATAAATAAACTCGATTTTATGTTTAAAAACCTCATATTTTCTGGGTGCTTGTTGAATACACTTTTTACGTCTTGTCAAGACTTCTTCCTCTACTTAGTGGGGCCTTTGGATGCTCGGATTAGAGTAGTCTGTCGTGTCGTCGGGTCATCGATCCTCGCTCCGTTTACCGATTAAGGTGAACTCGTAATAGTTTCAAGCTTATCAGTAGACCAGCATAACAAGTTCTCTGTCAGTTCAGCTACTATAAGTATGTTTGTGAGATGGTGGAAAAAATTTATAGCTCAGGTGGATGATTGTGGTGGTGAGATCAGAGAACGAAACTCCACTACAAGTATGTTTCCACCCATTGTATATATGAGGTGATTGAATTCAGATATATTTACCTGTTGTTTCATTCCAAAGGATAGTGGTCTGTTGTGCCAGTGTTTGATTTTGGGGTTAATAAGTAACTAACTATCCAATAGATACTATACGTGCATACACTTCTTTAGTTATTCATAATTATTCAGTTTAAGCAAGTCTAAGGCAGGTTGGTGCGATAGGATATAAGTTCTTAAAATTTGTAGCTCATCTAACTTCTCCATGCTCCAATAGCTGTGAAGTATCAAGTATTCTCAGTATTCTTACATTTATTTAGTAAATATAATTTTATTTCAAGCTCTGAATTTCATGTCATTGGCTTCTTTTCATCCAGCAAGTGGGAATACATTCCATTGGTGTGTTTATTGAATATAAATATATAACTGTAGGTGATTAAATTATAATCTCTGATAAAATTCATGCTTTTATTTTCAGTATTCATTCATTAAATAAGCGGAAGATATGTTCAAATACACGCTAGATATTGCATTTTTACTAAACATTGAAATAATGGGTTACTAGCTTCATATTAGGTAGGTTAGTGGCAAAATTTCTACATTTGGAGAATAGATTGTCTAAACGTTTAGGCAGACTGTATTTCAATGTGATATATATATATATATATATCGTTTTATATTTTTCTAACAGCTATTTAGAGTTCATAAAACTTCTAGATATTTGTTATCTAAATTTTTATTTGAATTACATCTCTTTACTAAAACAAATGTGTATTCTAGTTTGATATTTATTTACTTAGTTATTTATACGCGTAAAAAAAACATGTGTTATTGTTTCAGTTATCTTTTAAGAATGTGTGAACAATGTTTTTTTTTCATGCCAGAAGACTATATCAACCATATATTTGTATATATATTATGTAGTGTCAGAAAAGTAAACTATTAGATAACTTGAGTTATTTATAGTCTTAATCGATTGGGACATGTATTACGTATGCCGAACCACTGATTGCCTCGTCAAACTATGTTTTTTCGGTGTAGGAATAGGTTGGAAGAGAGCTAGGGGCGGCCAGACCAAAACATGGCAAAAATCCGTGAAGTCACTGACAACTGGACTGAGTCATGTTGGTAGATGCAGACTGCCTTGTTGGGGCCCGCGAGATGATATTAATCAATGGTTATAGACCCTAAACGAAATGACTCAAAACCATTTGCAATGGCGCAGGCTCATTCAATCTTTGTGTTCTCTCAAATCCTAACCTGCTTAATTCCTCATCACCTTTATATTTTTCTTTTTAAGTTTATGTTACTAGATTCTACTTCTTGAATAATATCGTCGAACACAAATCTCTCCGATTACTGCTAATACTTCTACTACCTCTACAACTATGGGATTTGAATTGACATTTGCGTCTCTGTGCTAATGTGGTAAGGCAACTTGGAGTGATGTACGTGCGAACGTACGAAGTTCTATGTTGCTGTTGATTGTTTGATTGAGTCTTAATCGATGCTTACAATGTTTGTCAAACAGTCAGTATAGAAACCTGAAGCTTATTTTACTTATTACAGCCATCATTGATTCTAATATTTTAAGTTAATTGAACCGATAGTCACTGGATAATTGTTGACAGTGTTTTAGACTAAGATATCAATTTCAAAAAACTTTAGGATAAATGATTATCAAATTACGCCTAATTTCGCTGATAGTTCTCATTAAGCTTCGTTTTTTCTTGATCAATGATTAACAGTCTAGAAGTAGAAAAATGCATTGTTGTTAACATTGACATGTCTCATACACAGGGTTTGTAGACACTGAGTTCAATTTCACAGTGTTTTTAAAGTTAGCTGATAAAATATTCATGAATACGTTCATATTTTTTAGTAATTTATCGGATTATATGAATTTGTTTAAAAAGTATCATCATGTAAAGTGTTAAATATTAAAAGTTCTAAGCCTATTTAATTGTGAAATCAGTTGAATATATTATAGTTAGTGTTGTGACTGTAACAAATTTTCAATGTTCCCTGAACAATGAAACACTTCGAAATGGCATTTTAACCCTGTTTGGTATTTTTTTTATTTTCTATTTTATTGTTGCTACTAGTTTCAATGTCCAAAATAAAGTGTTCAACAAGTGTTAGGAAAAGGCATTAGATTTTCAGTATGTACTCTCTTTAACTATATATGATTGATTTGATCAATCATTTATTATTATTATCTGGGATCATTGGTGCTTAGTCTTTTGGTAATGGTTGAATTCTGTCAATTAAGTTGCTTCGTGATCATACTTCTCTGAGTGATTCAACATCATTTGTTCTATGGAGAATTTAGGTAGTTGAAGTCAGTTGGTAAGAAATGCTGCTGATTGACTTCAACTATGTCAAATAAATAATTCAGGCTGTGTAAATAAATTAACTATGAAATTACGGATCACTTTTTTATGACTTCATGATTTTTTTTTCATAAAATACTAGAATTCTACAAATAGAAGAGTTGATTATTATTCACTCAAAGAACTAATCCCTTATTTTAATATGAAGATTTATTTAGTTTAGAGTATGTATTAAAGAATTAGGACTCAGTCAGTCAGCGCCGAAAAATATAGTTTGTCGAAGCAGTCGGTGGTTAGGGATACGTAACATGTCCCAACCACCTCAACTGATGAAGTTTCAATACTTCATATATTGACATGACATCTTTACCCAGTACCCGTTTCCTAACAAGAGCATTGCTTACTCGGTTGTCCCATGATATACGAGCAATGCTTCGCAGACACCTATGATCGAAAACCAGTAACCTACGAATATCTTCTACTCTTACTGTCCATGTTTCACAGCCATATAGTAGGACGGAGCGAACTACTGCACAGTACACTCTTCGTTTAGTCAGCAAACGGATATCTCGCCTACGCCATAAGTGACGCAGGTTGGCAAAAGCCAATCGAACCTTCTGTATCCGAGCTGAGATTTCGTCAGTCACCAGGCCATCTGCACTGATGAGACTCCCCAGATAGGTGAGGCGGTCAACACGTTCGTCTACTTCAATCCCTATCACTAGTTCAGGTGCCGATGGACACCACTTGAAGTAAAACGTTCCGATGATGGTTCGCCATTAGCTCTCACTTGACCTATAGTGTTCGAATAGAGAGCTTGTATAAGGTTAATGTACTTCTCTGGTACACCTTTAAATGACAGACACTGCCACAGAACCTCACGATCTACGGAGTCAAATGCCGCCCTAAGGTCCAGGAAGATAACTGTTGTCGGAGGCCTAAAGTCCAAAAGAATTAGGACTATCATTTATGTAGCGAATAATCAACAATGATAGTAGAACTTGTAACAAGTAACGAATAAATAATGAAGAGTGAAGATGACTGTCTATTCTATCCCGATTATATTACGCAGGTAATCTTCTGATGTATTCAATATATTAATCGCTTAACAGCAATAATTGAAATCCGTAAGTGATAATCATTTAGAAATAAGTTTTTTATTTGATCACCTAAAAATGGCGCGTAGATTTTGTTACCACTAAAAAAATTGCTCTAGTTTCGTACCATATTAGATCTTTATTGAAACAAATTTACACATCTTCACAAATTTTAAAATCTCCATATCATTGACAGTGTTTCAAAGTGGCTATGCTAATTAGCGTCATGGTATATATTTAGTAAAATTACCTACCGTTGAAAAGAGAAATTACTTTCAAATTTTGTCGCTTTCTTAATTAATCCACCTGTTCAATCCAAATGGTTTATAATTTATCGGTAAATAATTTTATTTTATTAATTTTTTTTAGATCAACAAAAATGTCTTTTAGTTGAACACAATCTGACTGTAAAAATTCATTTGTGTAGTTTGATGTTCTAATTGGGTAGCTGAGGAACTATATTTAAACTATAATTACCACATAATTTTAAGAACTATCGCAAAGTTGCATTGAATCAGTACGCCAAACACTGATGATCCAATTACACTAAATAGAATCTACGTTCTTCACAAATCACGACAAGTGTAATAATTTGATATTTTCTTTCGGATTGTAAATTATTTTTTTGCATTTTGATAAATTTTATAGTCTTAGTCTTTAATGATATGTATTATAAGTAGTAATGATATAAGTAGTAGTCAGCAATATCCTTAATTCATTTATGATAAACATGTCTACTTACTGTCACATAATCTAGTTTTTAGGTGTAAATACATGAAACCCGGATCAAATTATATGGATAATAAGTCAGGAAGTAACGTATGAATTTCATTCGTTTACAAAATAATTCATAGTTATTAAAAATAACAATAATACTAATAATACTAGTAATTATGATAATTATTACAATAATATTGATTGATGATGATTGACTGAACTTTAAACAAATATTTTCTTCAGTGTTTCCCTAATGCTATTCTAATTTTAACTACAAATTTTGGTTAGCTTTAAGAATCGTTGATAACGTTAAAGTACTAGATAATTGTTTATTGTTCGTACAGTTTAGGACTTACCATTAGTATGTATTCATCATTCTGCACCGGATTAGTCCCGAGAAATTTAGATATTTAATACCGTTAAATTGCTCTGTTAGAATATTATAGTCCATAATTTTCTTACTTAATTACTTACGCCTGGTAACGCCAGTAGAGCATAGGTCACCGACCAGCATTCTCCAACCAACTCTGTCCTAGGTCATCTTTTCCATTTTTATCCAAATGGTGTTCATTTTTCTCATGTCTGTCCCTAATACTCGGCATAATGTGTTCTTCAGTCTTTGTCCTTTACTATTGCTTTGACGATGAGGGATTGTCTTGTGACACAGTTGAGTGATTTCATCAATGTGTATATCCTATCTACCTCTAGCGCTTCTTCCTGATTTCTTTCTCTACTGGAATCTGGTTTCTTTTCTCACACATCCATAATTCTCACTTCAGTTTATTGAAGAAATTAACTAATCTTCGTCCGATCTCATCAATCAATTGCTTCCTCATGCTTAACTTTGCCTAGTTTATAGTTCATAAATGTCCATAGAAAAATATGTTAAACGATATAGCACAGTGTTTCTGTACTTTACTGTACATGTTTAGTGCTGTTGTGTATCATTTGTGTATGTAACTAACTTTTTATTTAAAAAATATACTATCTTCATTCTAATTTACCATTTAATAATGTGATTAATTGGCTTTCTGATTATTATATCTGAAAAAATATTTTCTGAATATATTTTTCACGTAAAAATTTTGTTTTTTGGTTTTAATAATAATAATTGTCTTATTAAATACTACTTAAAGAAATTTAATCTTTGATCACTGTTTGCATAGTATCAGATGATATGTACAATTTAAATAACATTGGTTAGTATTGACAAATCAAATCGTAAAATGAAAAAATCTCTACAACTGCTTGTTTATCATTCTGATATCTTGATTTCATTGATGAGGTCCAATATTGTTAAAAAAGGTTTCTACTTCCATTGCTGTTTTAACTTTGAACTTTGAAATAAATGATTTTACAAACAACAGAAAGTTGACCTGAGTAGTATTTCAATTCATGACAAGTATATAAATTTAGGAATTACGACTATAAAATTGATAAACAAGGAGGATCTTTTAAATGTTACCTCGTCGAACTACATTGTACAAAAGCTTAATTTACAAGCTTGATAACTAAGTAGACAAGCAAATAGCTTTAGCCAAACGTTGTGTCTCAGCTTGTATACTCCAAATAAACAAATGGACCTTAGACAAACACCTAAATATATACAGAAAATGTACATGGATAAAGGTCGTGATAAATTATATACTAACACATATAAAACATTAAATAAGATTACAGTCTCATATACAAGAGTTACAAAAATGTCTTTGTTTCTATCAGTTTACACAAAGGTTCATGAAATCATGAAATTATTGTAAATTTGAATGTTTTTTTATGATTTTCCGAATGTTTTTGAGACCGTTACAATCCTCATTTCTTTATATCTTTGTTATATGATGAATAGCACAATCATACTATCTTATTTGAATATTGTGTATAGAATTGACAAGATATTCTCAACTGACCAATTTGTGGTTATGTTCTGATTTTTTTCTTGCAATACAAACAGTTGAGATTTGAATTTTAATTTCGTGCTCAAAATACTATTAAGTAGATCATGTTTTCATAAAAGTATTGTTTAGCAATTAATCTCATTGTATACGAGAGATTTGATGTTTATCATTTACAAATTCACGGATTTTTACAAACTAATGATATGCTCACACAAGATTAACATGAGAATAAGTAGTTCTTTTGCTGTATCAGTTTAATTTTTTCATTATTAATCTAACATTATTATTAATCAGATTATGTAAGGTTTGAGATCGATTAGGTTGGATCACGTTGTTCTGTATTATTTTTCTTTCTCATTGATCAGCATGTGATAAGTCTTCTATGTGCATAGTTTTTGTATGCTAACTTCTTTAGAGCTTTGATAATAACGAGAGATGGATGAAGATTAGGTTAGCTCATTGAAGACTGGGAGAAAATAAGCACTTCTAACTTCTTCATTGTGAACTCCTCAACAGTGCACACTCAGAGATCGAATCCCATGACTTCCAGGTCATGTGAATATTTAATGATGTCACAGATCAAGTGAATTGATTCTTGTCGTCTCTTTAATTAATCTTGCCCTTAAGTAACATGATCATCACAAGATATTCATTTTGTGAATTCGATTTCTGAGAGGGTTTGGGAATATATTCTTACCAGACACCCTGAATTGGTACAACACAGCAGCTATCCAATGCTCTCTGGTTATTCACTAGTACACCAACTAATTTGATTTTGTAATGAAAACCAACTTAACTCATAGTATTTTTCTCAATTATTGTAGTTTACAAACAATTTTTTCCCTTAAATTTCCTTTCTTTACCTAAAAGTGATCGACTTAGTTGGCGTGATGTTCAATATATTACTTTACTAACAGCTAATCCAGAACCATTCAAAGATGGTAATTTTACAAAGAATGCTGTTGGACGTCAATGTAAGTTCCACTTTAGGTTTGAACTTCATCGCCTAATGTTTTATTTATTATAGAGTTATGGAGATTGTTGTTTAGCATTAAAATCAAGTATCAATCATTATTAGGCCACCGTTAAAAACCTGAAAACATTGTACGGCCGTTTCGTCCTAGTGTTAGGCTCTTCAACAGTGTGCATCCACGAGCCCCTCTCAGGAATCGAACCTTAAGACCGGTCTCGCACGCCAACGCTCAACCTCTAGACCACTAAGCCGGCATTGGACGGTGTTAATGTCTAACAATTTAAATTCCTGACAGAAGAATAATGCTTATTTCATTACAACTGTTGAACCTTCAACAAAAGTTGACCGCATTGACAGAACATGAAAATAACGATGGATAATAATTTATTATCGACGGTGTCTATATCACCAATCGATTCACGAGAAATGATCATTTATGCATAAATCTATCAAAATCTTATACTAATTTAGGGATAAATTGTAAGTGTTTAGAAAAGGAGTTTTTTTAAATATACGTTTGTCTATTATAGATAGCCAATTGTATGGATATGGTTTAATGGATGCTGGTAAAATGGTTCGATTAGGTGAACTATGGCGTGGTGTACCTCCACATCATCGTTGTACTTCAAATGTGATGGATGTGCAAAAGTAAATTTCAGCAGAATTTCTTATTTTATATATTTTTTTCCATTTGTTATGAATATTGTTCGTATAAAATACAAGATACATGATAGACATACATACATACAGACAGACAGGTTCAACGCAGAACTTCATACGTAAGTACATCATCAGTTCAGGTTGCCATACCGCATGAGCACAGAGATGCAACTGTCAGTGCAAGATACATGATGTGATATTTTTAAAGGTAATAGGAAGTATAGATAAAAGATAACTAACTATCTACTTAAATAAGGGAGAAGATGATGATGATGCTGAAGAGTATCATGATAATTATAATTTGATAGTGAGGAATATAAACGGGAAGAGGCAGATAATTACCAACAAATACAGGATTTGAAAATAATGTTAATAATACCAAAATAAAATTTGAAAACGTTAGTTACGTCATATCTGGCCATGGAAGAGATAGGGGTGTCACGAATTACTTCTGAACACATAAATTGGGGTCGAGTGTACGAATTCCTATGGCTTCTGCTGTGTGGGAGACGGGATCGAACTCTTTTGGGAAATGATTTAGGTATACGACAGATCACCCAAAAAGATCTAGACTTACCACTATCAACCAGGTGTGCTAAGATAGAACTGACCCTTTGTAAATTATAATCTGTAAAATTCAGATGGCTACTAATAATTATCCTACTATTCAGCTACTTTTCTTTTATCAAGTAAACTCTTCTCATTTACTTTCATTCTATAAATTACTACTGCTTATAACTCTCGTAACACTTTGTTCAATGATGCTGCATCCATTTTTATTCAATACTTAAAAATAAATATGTTGCTAAACTGTCATCTAATTCGATTGTATTATGTAAATTAATCTTCCGGTACATTAAAAAAATGTCTATTTAGTATATTAATAATGCTCATCAATATCAATTCTCATAATTTTACGCATAAAAACTGAGAATGATATAGTGAATATGATAGTCAGGCTAACTGAACTACGAATGCAAACTTGTTATCCAAACGAACTGACATACAATCATATTGCTCCTACGGATTTTTTTGGAGAGTCAAAATGAATAAGGTGAGATCTGTGTTTGGCTGTTGACGTTGGTTACATAAAAAATGGAATTTTTGTGAATAGCAGCTCAATCTTTCATTTGATTTACTGCATATCTTTGATGCCTTCTACAACTTACCAGTTATGATACTTTAGCTGTGCTACATCGACAGGAATAATTACTTTTTTAACTCCTGCCATGACAGGCAGATAGGTTGGAAAATGTTTAAAATAAAGCACCGAACTCATAGGAAGGTTGAGATGATGATATTGCTCCTTGTACTGGGTTGTGGCAGTTGTACGCTATATTTACCTCAGACAATCAACGTCTGCAGTTATGTCATGTTTCTACCGCGAACAGATGGGGTTAGAAAGGTTTAGTTAATAAAATTAATACATCTCAATTCATTCTACAGACTTCTGCTATCAGCACTAAAGCCTTTTAAGTACAGAGCTGATACATCAAGAACTAATCACAAGATAGCCGTATGTGACCAACCTCGATCAGTTGTCCTTTAGGCTTTGTAATCATGATCTCAGATTGTAAAAATCACTACTAATCTAGTGATATATGGTTCCACTATTTGGGCGAGCTGTAGTTTCAACTATCCAGTCACCTCTAACAGTTCTCAAAACAATCTGGTTAACAATGAAAATCTATCTGCATATTAAATATTATTAGTCTGTACACAAATCTCCTCCACTCTTATTAACATTGTATTTCTTCGTATTCACTTATGAATAATTTATACAACTTGGTTTTTTTTTTATTGTTTATATTATTCTACTCCTTATGCTTACTTGTATTACATTACATTAGAAATTTAGGTGGAAGATTTAATATTACATTATTTCTTAACTTTTCTGGATGTCAACCAAAATCTCAAAATAATGAATCAACAAATAAATTGAATAAATCATCTACTTCAGAAAATGGTACACCTATACGTTATTTAGAACATGTTCAAGTTTATGCAGATATTGTATATCAACGCAGAGGATTATTACAGCTATCTGTCATATCTCCAAGTGGTATGTTTGTTTGTGTGTGTGTGTGTGTTATTGATTTATTAATAAGTTATTGTACTATTTTATATAGGATAAAATTTCAAGTTTTGAAGTTCATATGATTTTTTTTTATTGAAAGAGAAACTTCCGTTCAAATTGACTTGGCAGACTTTCCAGTTGCTTATAGTTAATGTAGAGGCTACTCTATTGGCCATAAAACATCATGACAGCGAAACGAATAAAAAATTTATCGGACTGGTCGTAGCATCAATGATTATGTTAAAGAGTAAACCTTGGAGATGTTTTATTCAGTAAGACTGGATGGAAAGATATACATACAGAAATAATGCAACTACGCGAAGAGAATTCGTCAATATTTCTGTGGTATTTTATTCAACTATAGACCATGTCATCAAGTCTTTCCAACAACTTATTGTAGTCATCATATGGATCTTATAACAACCGATAGAGGAGTTTAATACAAAGTCGCCTCTTCCAACAACCCACAGAACTCCTTGGAATCGAATGCATTCGCATTACATCCTACCATCTAATGACGAGTGGTATGGTTGAGAAACGACACTGGCAAATTAAAGTTTCCCTTACGGCTTTTATTAGCAACAATCATTTGGCCAGCAAACTTCCATTAGTCATGTTGAGTTTAAGATCGAAAATTAAACAAGATATAGGAGGTTGCTCAGAAGAGTTGGCTTATAGAACTACTCTACGTATACCAAGATAGTTTTTCACTTCAGGTAAAAGTGTTCCAACTGATATAGTCAACTGTGTACAACTCCTAAAATATCTCATGAGTGATGAGTGGTGCGCGCTACTTATAAGTAGTATATGACGTGAGTGTAAACATAATGTCTGGCAGCAGAAGATGGGGGAAGATCAAGAAAGGAAGAGTGGGAACACAATGGAATTTGTATGAAACGCATGAATAGTGAAATGTCAGACAATGGATTGATGATGGACTGAAGATTTGCAAATTAACGGTTATGATATGGTTTTCCTATTTTACTGAGTAACTCTGTAATTTTCGATAAATACAATTCGGTTGCCCTCACTTGTGTTCTCCTTCGCTAGAGATGCAAGAATAACGCTTTCATGGTAAAATCAGCATCGGATATGCATACCAAAGTAAATGAGCAACAGTACCCAGGTATTTTTCAGAAGGAATAGTGTGCAGCGTCCACGCTAACCGACCTACGATGGTCCATTCTAGGTGACTAGAAGAAGTGCTAGAACTGTTACGGTAGATGAAGCCGGTAAAAAAGGATGTCATTAGCATTGATCGAGTCACCGTATTCACCCACAATAAAACAAATTGGGTCAGGCAAGTTCATTGTTTCGGAATGAAGTAGCAGATAACATACGAGAGGTTCTAGCTAAACCGTATACAGAAAAGCCATACGATGTATTAAAGCAGGCTGTAATAAAAGCTATCTCTTTAACCAACCAAGAAGCCCTTGATCAACTTCTCAATCAAGTGCACGTAGGGGACTGGACTCCAGCACAGCTTACAAATTAAATCAGCTGTGGCTCTGTCACCCTCTGGAGTGCAGCAGATCCTCGCAGTTAAAGGTAGCATTGCAGAAATAGATAACATCGCAAAAATAGCTGATAGGATATCTGAGAGGACAAAACGGACGAGTCCTCAAATGCATAACACCACGGTAGACGATAGAACCGATGCGTTACAAAAATTGATCTGTATTTTTGTGCCATAAGCTGGCGAAGTTGACTCAGAAAGACAGACCGAAAAAATGGCCACGATGTAAATCCAGCGACTGAAACCGATTACGCCTTAGGAGACGCTCAGCTCTTACGATATGTTAGTATCATCAGAGTTATGGAAATGTAATACAACAGGGAAACGGCTCTGCCGGTCTTAGGTAGTGAATAAAAATGAAGCGAGTCCAGTAACGACTAGATATGGTCAAAGAGTCAGATAGCCGCAACGACATGCAACTACAATTTTGAATGAATAATTTCTTTCGCCCGCTCTATTATCGATTTTTCCCTCTTCGTTTTGTATGTGTACACCGAAAATTTTAACTTAACTATTAATAAATTCTACATATTTTGTGTATTCTGATATCACATTGTTTAACCTTCTGAAAACATTGCCTTATTCTTTTGATCTTCGATTATTATCTGGCCTTACATGAATATACGTGAACTCAAACTTACATGTATTTGTGATAACTTTCACGATAGTTTTAGCATACATTGTATATTCCGTCCTATTAAATTTAACATTTTTTTCCGCACATACATCCACTGTTTTGTATGTGTTTACAGGAAGGAGTTTTTTTAGCATCACACAAACATTTGAGTTTGTTTACATTTAACTTGGTTAGACTCTTGTATTGACTTATTTAGCAGGGCGCCATTTGTAAGGCAACAACTTATTTATATACCATTGTACTTTTATTATTTATTGAGCTTGTATTAGCATGAATGCTTGAGCACTGCTTACTGCCCACGCATATATTCATTCTACTTGCTTTAATGTCAGTCGTTTTTTTTTTAATTTAAAAATAGTAAAAGTTGTTTTTCAGTATTGAATTCATGACGAATTGTGACAAGTATTCACAATTTAGAGTAATGGTTGTTAGGGTGAATAGTAAACAAAGTTTAACAATATATTGTATATCCACAGTCACAATCTTTATATCTACTCACATAGACTTAGGTGATTGATTGATCAATCATCTCATGAATGAATATCATCTCTTGGTTCAGTTGCCTTTGGTTTTCTACTTTTACACCTTCGTTTCATTTAGTACACATTATTTATAGTGTTTTTTACAATGTAACTACACGAAGGAGATAAGAATTGTAAATTATTTTGTAAGAGTGAGTATTCAAAGTCTTTAACTCAAAAATTGATTACTTAGGTTTAAAGGATCAATGCATTATTGTAATATGCACAATGAATTATTCTCAATGAATACACCTGTATCATGAGGTCACTAGAAAGAATTGAAACTATTTTATAACTACTGTTTGGTTAGAATAATGTGTTTACTGACTCCGAAGTATTTGTCTAGATACCGTAAATACTCATAAAACCGAAAAAAGATGTGAAATCAAAATGAAAGCTTTAACTCAGTTTTAGTTAATGTATAGAAAATTAGTTTATTTATGGTTTTACGGATGACCTTCACCTAGACTCTCTTATGGAGATGCATTAACTTTAGTAGCAATCAGTGGTTATCTCATCAAATTATGACACATGATTCTTTGTTTTTCTAGGTGTTTCTGGGACGTTTAAAGTGAATATCGATTGGATAAAATATTCAGAACCTTCTTCGAACTTCTCTATACTTTATCGAGTAGCACATTTGAGGGCTTCCAACCAAAGCAGTGTCATCGGAATTAAGGACTGACTTTTTGAATTATGTTAAAAAGTTGCATAAAATTCAAGTGCGTTAAAAGTTTTCCGCCAGTCTTGTGACAACTCAGGTGATCCCTTACTTTAGACAATAGTACCAGTAAATTTTTGCTAAACACTCAAATCAATAATTGCATTATTACTGTCATCGCTTAATGATTTATTCACATTGACCATAATTGATTCAAAATTATGAAATACTGATGATGGATTTTGTCTTCGTACTTCAAGTAACGAACTGATATTAGCTAAACCAGCATCCGGTTTTGAACACAATACTTTTAAACTTATAAGCGATTACCTAACCACTGGGCCAATATTCAACTTTCAAAATAAGTAGTTTATTACAGTCATTCAAATGAGTATAAAATATTCGCAATAAAACACATTGAACTTTATGTATATACTTTAGTGTCAATTAATTTTCTGATTTCTGTGTTATGTTTAAATTTCTTGAAAAATAACTGATAGTTGACAGGTTTCAATTGTTATAATCATTTTATTATTATTCTCTTTTTTTTCTCTATAAGGCACATTGAGTGTACTTCTTCCACCTCGAATTCATGATGAACATTCAGGTAATATAGCTATGCTACGTTGGCCAGTTACAACTGTACAATTTTGGGGTGAAAATGCTGTTGGTACATGGCAAATACGTTTAGATAGTATTGTAGGCAGTGAAATAAGTCGTGCTGATCCAGATAACATTAAAGGATTTTGGCGTTCAGTTTGGATTGTAGCCTATGGTACAGATGAATTTCCTATACGTCTTAAACCTCCTACATCTGAACATCCACCACCTCCGGTATGTTCGATTAACTGAATACGTACTGCTATCTTTTGGTTTTTTCTTTAAATCATCATCCTCCTGTTAATAAGCTGTTTTCTTCCAATTTGACGGTAGTTCTAATCACCAAAATTTCTCTAACTAAAGAATCACAGTTAAAAAAAGTAGTAGACTGAAGATCTGTTTCTTAGTAATCATTTTGAAACTCTTCAGTAGTTATATACCAGCTTTTAATGAGATGCATATAACTTATAAAGTTGACCAAATTAAGAATTGGATGGCTACCTGTCTATGATATCGAGTGACGGACGGTATGATGGTTACATTATATTACCAACTGATTGAAGTAGAATGTCAAACCATTGGATCTCAAAGTCAAATTTGAAACGTTATTTTATTTTCATCAAAATATGAGGATTGTAGGAGGATTCTAGTTCTATATATTTGGTAGTGGGTGTAGAGTGTTAAAAGTTTTATATTTTAAATTATTTCATTAATCAGGTACTTAATTGTGTGCTACACTCTAATTGTAAAGATTAGTGATACTTACTACACGGTTGCTCAAACCTTAGTAGGTGACTTGGTATTCAAAATTAGGATTTAGCAACCGAAAATCGAACAACTTATGCACTCAGCTATCGTTCCACTCAGCTTGTGATGAGAAGTAAAGTGATCTCTGTGACAAACAATCTGACGAACTGTTAGGCATAATAAAAATCATAATTCGAATGTTGATATATTCACGTTTGGTGCATTTTTTTAGTTTAGAATACTGAGATTAACGATTTATATTACATTTATAAGATTTATAAGATTCACTGAGTAGCTTTACAATCCCATAACACCGTCTACAGAGATACTGAATAAGGTTGTGTCGTATACTCAAGAAGGCTATAGTTTAGTTTGAGGAAAACAGTCAATCAAAGGAGTACTTGTCGATTAAATCTGTAAAAAACTAATTTAATGAAGTAGTATTATTCAACGACCAAAGAGAAAGAGAGCGAGCGTAGCTATCGTAGTCATGGTGTTGATGTATAAAAAAACACAGATACTTCTAATTTTTTGTCAGAGTATTAGGGAGATAATAGTTTTACCTGGAAATCATGAACGAATTATTATTAGACCACCACTAGAAACCTGGAAGCATTGGATGGCTGTTTCGTCTTGGCATGGAACTCATCAGCAGTGCACATTCATGACTCCTACTACCCTCATGATTCGAACCCATGACCTTCGGTCTTGCACGTGAACGCACTGCTGATGTGTCTCATAGCAGGACGCAATGGCTGTCTAGTGCTCCTAGGTTTTCAGTTTTGGTCTAACAAGGATTCATTCATGACTTCCAAATAGATACTTGTTCCAAATTCGAAATTTTATATCGTATGTGATTTGATGTTTCATTATTCTTCATTCTTCTCATGCTAATCTCAAGGTCATTAAGATACCTTATTCACATTGACCTCATTGTTTTTTTTTATTCTGTTCGTCAAGTTGCACGAATGTACTATTACTTTCATGGTCTATTGCATTACTCCATTGAATCATGCTTACCCTTCATGAATAAATTTAAATAAATTACAGATTTAATTATTATTTATATTTATTTTGGCTTATATATCCATTTGCAACTATTTTATTGTAGGTCATTAATAATTTCAGTAAATAAAATTTTTAAAAAAAGAGCAACCGGTTTTATTTTGAATATTGAATTAAGAAACTAGTAAATATAAAAGCGTGTAAATATTTATCAGTAATGAGAAGAAAAAAAATATATTATTACAGCACATATATCAATTGGATTTCTGTTTATTTAAAAGATTTAATTTTATGATATTTGATTGGTTAAAAACTTATAACTAATGAAAACAAAACATTATGCTTTTATAACTAACCATAAAAGAAATTGGATATTTTACTTAAGGCTTTTGATCAAATTGTGTTATTTATAAGTTGTACAATCAAGCTTTTATTGTGTTACGTTACTGAAGTTAAATAAATTAGTTCAGTTTGCTTAAAGCAGCTTAATTATGTTTAGGGCAGTACTTTGTTCTTCATCAACACCATCTCAAATAAATGAGTTCTATTGAAATTAATTGTGGATATTAGTTATATTTTTCTACAATATTGTACGTCACAAGTTGACCTCAGTTGGATACCATTGGAAACTAAAGAACACCAAACATCTGTCAGAGATACCTTTATGGTGGATGCTACTCAAAAAGTGGCATCTAAATATTATGTATGTAGAGTAGCGTTGCTTAGAAATTTCTACCTGAGAGAAGAATGACAGGAATTTGAAATGCGTAGATAATCTGTTTGTTTTGCAAATAGAAGACTGAAAATAAGGTGTACATATTATAACTGTACTTGTAACGACACACCACAACTAGTCTGGTTATGTCGGTGATGATTGTCATACTCCCGATGTAGTTAAATACCATCAGTTAAAAATTTACACTGCAAGTTTAAGCACTAATGTCGAAGTAAATTTCAAAGGAGAACCTGCCTATCGATGGATCGAAGAGTTTTTCGGAGATCGGTTTCATTCATAGATGTTATTGAACATTAATTGATCATCGCGATATTTCTTAAGTTGAGTAAAGTTGGAAACGTATAAAGTTGTACTCCAATTCAAAAGTCTACAATTTAGAAACTCTCTTCGACATTTGACAGTTTCGTGTCTAATTTCTAGCGAGACGGTTATTGTATACTGTTGAATAAATGCCATGCTGGAACGAAACGAGCCCCATATAATGTGTTTTTTATTAATATTTCAACTGAAGTTAATCCGTGTTAAATGCCACCTACAAGTTTTTAGGTGCTAGAACGTGTCCGACTTCACTGTGTATCCAATCTCCTATATGTTTCATCAGTTTGTCAATAATATTTTTGCATCACCTGCTTGTCAGCCTTAATCGGTTCAAATGTTTGATACACGTATCAGATATCTTTTTCATCTGTCACTCATTTACTACTATGGCAAATATTTAATTCTTCTTAGAACAAATGTCACAGTGACACGGTGATAAGTAATCAGAATCAATCTGTTAGAATCTTTTTGTTTAAAATTCTTTACGCTTATAGACATTTATATTACAGTTCAAATTTAATTCTACTCAAAATAGATACATTTATTATTACTAGTTGTCTTCAACATCCTATTATGCTTAAACTTCTCATATCTCTCTTGTCAATATTCTTTTACGCTACATTACTTTAATTTCAAGTAATTTGAGGCCTATAGAATTATTATATTATATTCTATCAGTTCTATGTTTAAATGCTTAGGTGATTGAAATTCTGTTTGAAACTAATTGTAAATTTGCTTTTATGATCAAATCAATTGACACAACATCTCAACATTGTCATTTGTTTCTAAAAAATACAACCTTATTTAGTTATCTAATACTTAGTAGTCTAACACAGTCGAACAAAGTTTTGTCTAGTTTATTAAACTAGTTGTCAAAATTCACTCTGACCAAAACCTAATCTATCTATCTATCTATCAATCGTCATCAGTCTAAGACTGAAATTGTAGATGAAATGTATAAAATTCATTTATACTTTTAGAAATTACTGCATAACTAACTATAAATGAGAATGCAAATAGCAATTCAAACTCAACTATCATTATCATGTCATTTCATATCACTAACTAGCAATGAGGAGTCCCATAGTAGGACGAAACGGCCGTCCAGTGCTTCCAGGTTTGTGATGGTGTTAGTCGAACATTGATCATCGATTCATGGTTTCAAAAAATGTGTAACTTAACAATCTTCACAACCCCATAATGCAAATAATAATAATAATAAATTTTGTCACTGTTTGTTTATTTCGTGTAATAATTCTTTTATATGATAGGCACATCTACTGGCTACAATTTTTTAACTATTTCCTTGTATGTATGCGTGTATATTTGTGTATATGACTGTTTAGTTAGTGCACTTTCCACATATTAGGTCATTTATTTATTTATTGGTAATATTATTTTTTTTTAATCTCCTACCGTCATTTATTTTCTAATGTTGCTGTTCTAGAACTGGGGCATATTCGTTTGTTTGTTTGTTTTTTTTTGAATTAAAAATTAACTTTGTTGAATTGGCAGTAATTAATGTTGGTGTTATGTATGTATGTATGTATGTTTCGTTTTGTATTGTTTTTTTTTGAAATTTGGCTTAAACTACCATGTTCATACAGTGCCGTTCAACATTGGATTGTTGAAATAACATTTTCAGTCATAAATAGTATGATCCTAGAAAAAAGTTATGCAAAATAATTATTTTTGTAATTTACTTTCTTTTAATTAACTGTTTCAATTAGAGAAAATAAAATAAAAACAATAATTAGATAGAATGTTGATTATTGATACAAATTGTTTTATTTATGTAATTAGTCGATCTTGTAACTGTGCATGCTGTTATCAGTCTTTATTTACAATGTATTACACCTCATGCAACACTGATACCTTCAAAGATATCAGTCAGTCATTTACAATATAGAACGTCGTACGTAAGTACATCACTTCAGGTTGCCATACCACATTAACACATAAACGCAATTGTCAAATCAAATCCCATAGTGATAGAGATAGTAGAGGTATTAATGGTAATGAAGAAGACTAGGGTTTGAAGATATTATTCAAGAAGTATAATTCAGTGAGATAAGTTTAGAAAGAAAAAAGTAGATGTGTTGACGAATCCAGTGAAGATGCACCTGCGCCATTGAAAACGATTAAATAATGTTTCGGGAACTCGAATCGTTTGCAGTAGAGGTGCCGGTTGATAAAGGAATGTGAGAAGAGTTAGTCATGAAAATAAGAGGGATGTTAAGGGGTGTAAGAAGGATTTGATTGTTACCAATTTCATCTCGTTTTGTTGTTACGAGTATGTGGGCGGATGTCACTTCCCGGCTGCCCACACCGAGGACGGTTTCAAAGATATCAGAACTAATTGTATATGCTTATCTTAAGATATTTGACTGTCCAGTTGATTGAATTTTCTCATGACATTGGAACAATCAGTAAATCTGATCTCATAAGATTCATTCCACTGGACAATATCGAACTTAGTCTTATTTCAATATTGTTTGATTTCATTGACTGTTCTAAAGTTGATTTTTATTATATTCTCCTGAATGGTATGAAATTGCATTTTACATTTCACTAAGAACACTACTATTTGTATGTTTGGTTATATGTAGATTATTAGAATTAATTTTAAAAAACGTAATATTTATTAAGATGTCATTGAAATAGTAAAATTTGTTTCAATCTGTAATGACGTCCAAATGTTTACAAATGTTTGTCAACAAAATGCTTGCAAATTTAGAAATGAAACATAATTTACTTGCTCAAACTAGTTTTTCTAAGTTTCTCTTCAATTAGTCAACCATAATCAACATGGAGCTTGGTATAAGTATGTATTCATCTGAGTCGTTATATCACTTTATCATGACACAAAATTGACATAATGCTTCCCAAAGGAGTCGGAACGCTAATAATATCAACGATTGTATGAAAGAGTGAACTTTTAAGGTGCATATCGAAGAGTATGTAAACTAAAAATTTAAACACACAGTGATCAATTTTAAGCCCAACATTGTACAATCATTTATTACAATTAACACATGTACCCATAACTGTTGGGGATATGAGATCCCCAGAACTCACTTGATAAATGTCTTTATTTTGGATTTTATTCATGGGCTGGTCAGTTGGCCTTGAGATCACATTTCCCACCAGGAAAATCCTGTGTTATTTTAGTGTGCTATTTTATGACTCTCCCAAAGACGTCTCTATGGAGTATAAATAAACGCGATTTCTGTGCTTGGATTCATTGTGTGTTTGCTGGGTGTTGTGGAATACACTTCCTACGCTGTATCAAGAGTTCTTACTAGTACATTTGGGTCAAGGGATCCGAGTAGCCTACCTGGACTCTGGTTCATTGTTTTGTTCTCGTTATTCGACTAAGGTGAACCCTTATTAGTTTTAAGCATACCTACAGATGAGTGTAACATTAACCAAGTAGTCTCTTATCTATCAACATTCCGTACAACATTCAATGATTTTATGAACTGATACTATGTTGTGATTCATTTAGTCCTTTTGATTTCTTCCACCTTACTCTTTTCCTAACCAGATACTTAGATAATTTTTGAAATATTCAAATAAGAATAATCAATGATTCACTGAATACTGTTTTGTCATCATCATTATTTTCATCTGATCAAATCAGATCGTAAACAATATTGATACCTAGTTATTATTACTAAGAAAACAAATTTTATCAACTCATTTATTCTTGTTATCGATTGTCATATGATTGATTGTTATAAGAATGAAAGTAGCTTCAAACTTATTTACTATCAGGGCATTCGGAATACGTATTATAGCTTACCGTGTCAACATTTTTTAAACTGATTTTTTTTCTCTTGAAAATCATTTTCCATTCAATTTAAAACAAGTTTTTACATTATTCCACAAATAATGCAGTGACTAGCTTCGCAAGGAAATTCTCGGAGTTCTAGTGAGCAGACTTGACCAGTGGAGTTCAACCGTGTTGGGTGTAGGCCACTAACTACCGAAGACAATTGGGTGAGGTCTCGGAAAGTCCCTAGATCAATCAGAGTTGGACAATAACACCGTTGGGTGCCGGCCCAGTAGTCCAATGGTTAGGCGTTCGCGTGCAATACTGAAGGTCCTCGGGTTCGAATACTGTGAGGTTCAGGAGTCGTGAATGCGCACTGCTGACGAGTCCCATACCAGGATGAAACGGCCGTCCAGTGCTTCCAGGATTCTAATGGTGGTCTAACAATGATTGATTGATGATTTAAAATGTGTACAAACACTAATCTCCATAACTCTAATTGAAAATAATGCAGTTGTTATTTTCTGTGTTTTTTTTTGTTATTGTTATCTAGGAATGGTTCAAATCATTTTCGGAATATGTTGTTGATGATCAACACTGGCATAAAGTGTATACAGTAAGTTGTTGTTGGTGCTTTTTATTGTTCATTGAAAATTATATCAATTAACATGGCTTTTGAAGTGTGCGCAACTTTAAAAGTCTTCATTGAAATGTTATACATCATGTGCAAACATGTTCAGTATTGGGTATTTAATAATTAGTCTACATATCATCTCTATATTTTGGTTTTATGCTATTAGTTACAAAGTAAACATTTTATCTATCATGAACTGAAGTCTATGTAATGAATTAAAGCTTTTTAAAAAAAAAGTTTGTAGTGCGTGTACTTCAATGTTGAGCAGACAGGGCTTGTTCCAAATCTTCGGACAAATTAACTAATCCATTCTATCTGAGTTACTATTCCCTCGTCTATTGACCTTGTCAACCAATCACTTTTATCTTGGTTATTTCTATTCTATGTGTGCACCGCTTATTTGGCTAATTACTACTATCTGGCTTACTTTTATATGACTATAAATGCTTAGTTATGCTTCATCGCGTGAGAGTTAACTGACTGGCTCGCCATCTCCATTTCACTTCGCTCTGTTTGTATACCTTTCATTTTCGTGTTTGTCTGGATGTGCAATTTCACAAATGGAGTTTGCCAAAGTATGATATACGGAAACTGATGGGGAGATTTATTTCATAGCATATTTAAAACAATTAGTCCTGCTATTAATCTTCATATAAAATGCCTTGACAAGTAAATATGTGTGACCAGATTGTTCGAAATGTATGGCGCAACTATATCACATTTTTCAGATCAATTACGTCTTCTTACTGTTCTATCAAAATAGCATATTTAATTGTTTATAAATATATAATTTAGATCGTCAGGCACTAAAGTAGTCAGCCCTATATCAAATCTAATGCAGTTACCTTCATTTAAAGTGTATTGACTTTATCAGGTTAAATATCTTGACAATTGAACTAGGCATAATTAAAACTTCAATAGTCATCACTTTGATGTGTGTGAATCGACTTTTAGGATATAAGTTAAGTAAGTAGTGAAGAACAAATTAGGCAGGCCTTTTAAGTTTGAAGTATTACTTTGAGTCTATACAAATGTCAAGACAGTTTAACTGTATGGAGCGGAAACTTGGAGAACTACCAAAGGCATCATCCACAAGATACAAGTGTTTATTAACAGTTGTCTTCGCAAAACTTCGGATTCGTTGGCCAGACACCATCAGCAACAACTTACTATGGGAGAGAACAAACCGGATTCCAGTGGAGGAAATCAGGAAGAAGCAGTGGAAAAGCACCTAACTGCGTCACAAGACAAGCCCTCACATGGAACCCTCAAGGTGAAAGGAAAAGAGGAAGGCCAAGGAACACATTACGATAAGAAATAGAGAAAAACATGAGAAGAATGAACAAAAATTGGACAGAATTGGAAAGGGAAGCCCAGGACAGAGTTAGTTGGAGAAAACTGGTAGGCGGCGTATGCTCCAGTTGGGGTAACAGGCGTAAGTAAGTAAGTAATCACTATAAGTACTGACTCATTTCATGTGTGTATTCATCATCACAAAGAGATATTCGCATAGGAGACTAAAGTTAACCACAATCTTATTCTGAAATTGTTTAATCCTATTGGTTTCTTCATCTTTTAAATATTACTGAAATGAACAAGTCATTCATCAGACTATTTTGCGAATTAATTAAATCTAAAGCTTTTGGATTAGTATAAATTAACGAACAAACAGTAGTGGAGTTTGACTTCTCTCTTGAATAAAGCGTTCATACTATGGATTTTCTTTTACAAATATTACTTTATATCACTGATTATTTTCTTGTTTTTTTATGATTGTTTGTTACTAAGACAATTAATTCATGAATCAAACCAGTCCTGACTTGACCACACTGACTCAAGATTATCAATTGATAATAAGCCCACATTTTATTTACCTATCTAGTCGTCAAAATATCTCATCTTATATTGTTGAGTTCCAATTCAATAGTTAAATTTATTTTTTTTCTGATTTATGATATGATGATCACGTGATATTTGTAAGTTATTGTTTTATTCCTGAATGCATAGTTTAATCTTATACGGAGTACTCATTGATGATCATAAACATCAGACAGATTAACAAGTAAGAAATTTACTGGGGTGCTCTGTGAATTTTAATGGCTTTTCTATCTACTGAAATCGATTCTCGATCAAAGTTATGCGCTTTGCTATATTGAATATTGATTGAAGTTTTCATTCTCACTGAACACATACGTGACCAATATGAATTAGTTTATAGAGAGAGCATCAGTAGTTCTGTAGCATTAGAGAGTATCTAATGATTTTTTTGTTTTTCGATGCTCTCTTGTTCAGTGTCATTCTGAATGTGCACCCGGTGGTTGTACAGGTCCAGCAGCTGATCAATGTTTGAATGGATGTAAACATTTTGCTACTGAAAGCCGGTATGTTTTTTTTTTATAGATTATATGCTTTATATTTGTTCGTTAATTATATTGTATGAAATTCTACATGCATAATAATACACACAGCTCACTTTTTGCATGAAAAAAATGAAACTAGTTGCTCAATAGTGTACAGATACATTTTGTTAGTCAAGAAAAAGTATTTATCACTTCATAAATATGTAATGCATATTTCATAGTTGAATTATTTCGATTTAGAAAATAAATTTTATGCTATGTTAGATGGTTATCTACTAACGAGTGTCTGACGAAATCTCAGCATGGATACAGAAGGCTTGATTGGCTTTTGTCGACTTATGTTACTGATGGTGTAGGCGAGATATCCGTTTGCTAACCAAAGTACGAGTCTAATGCGCGGTAGTTCGCTGCGTCCTACTAAATGGATGTGAAACATCGCCAGTTAGAGTAGAATATATTCGTAGGTTTCTGGTTTTCGAACATAAGTGACTCCAAAGCATTACTTGTGTATCCCGGGGCTGTCGAGTAGGCAATGCTGTCGTTAGGAAACGAGTACTGGGTCAAGATGGCAAATCGATTGATGAAATATTGAAACTTCATCAGTTGGGGTGCTCGGGACATGTGTTACGTATGCCCAACGACCGACTAGTTCGACGAGCTATGTTTTGTGGTGTGGGAATAGGTTAAAAGAAATCTAGGGGCGGCCAAACCAAAACATGGCACAAATCTATGAAGTCACTGACAGCTGGACTGCGTCATGTTGGTAAGTGTAGACTATGGGGTTGGGGTCCGCGAGATGATAGTAATCTATGGTTGGAGATGTTGAATGAGATGTCTCAAAATCGTTTGCAGTGGTGCAGGTGCATCCATGCCTTTGTCTTCTGTCGATTCCTAATCTTCTGATTTCCTTATGTCCGTTTTTCTCTTTTTTTAACTGATTCGTCTGGGTTATACATCTCGAATGATATATTCGATCATTAGTCTTTTGGATTACTGCCAATACTTCTACTACCTCTACGACAACTGAGGTACTTACGCACGAAGTTCTTAGTTGTAACTGACTGAAATCATGAGGAAACTAGTGTTCTCTGTCAGAATCTAATATGCTTTACTTATAGTTTAACAGGACCATTATCATCAAGCTAATTACACTGCCGCTAGTTCCCTATTGGATTAAGATGTTTGCATGAATCTCTTATAAATATGCATATATGAATGTGCATCGACAAACACCAGATAAGATAATAAACAAACTAATCATAAAGTTTTGAAAATTTGGTTTAAAAACAAATAATTATATGTTTCAATCTTGTTCTCAGCTAACATTAAATGAACATCACAAAACTATTTTTTGAAGTAGAGAAATCCTGAAACTATCATATCTATTAACTTTTGGTGAATAATAGTTACATTCATGCTCATTTGGAAGAAGACTTTATTCAGAAGATATAAAATTTTAAAGATTATTCCATAATTCATTCATTTAGTTAATATATAAATTATTTAATATTTTAAAAGTAGTCAAATATTTCTGAATGACAACAGGAAACTATGTATACATTCATTCGGCAAATATGTTGGTGAGGTTTTAAAGTTGAACACTGGTCAGCAATGAAATCCAGGTATCGCATCTTGTCCTATTTTAGACTTGTCAGCTGGATATACTTACATCTGAGTGTTGATATTCATGTGGAAACTCAAGCTCAGTACCTGTAGCCTTAAATAGCAATGAGAATCCCGCATTCCACTGCTTGTCTTTAATAACTGTCTATGACCAAATGAAGATGTCGAAGATACATAGATTCCAAAAAGGACTGGTCATTTATAGTCAACAACATCAACAACGAATAAGTTCGACAATGCTTGGAGTGCTACACCATTTCATTCAAATTTATTAGAAGGGAATGTTAAATTTTTCATCTAACTTAATTATATCAGTCTCGTTTAGCCAATTGTAATCATGAGCACTTTGAACTGCTCACTTTTTTAACTGCTCCATCTGTATCTTAATGATGGTCAAAAACTCTTTGTTTGGTAAATTCTACTTTTCATACCTCCTTCACTTGTTAGTTTTATTACTTTCCAAAAGATCTTACTAAAATTCAGAGGAAATCAATGTTCTTACTAAAGATAACCATAACTTCACAGTATAAGTTTCTTAGTGAAGATATAACTTGACAATTTACAATTTATATTTGTTTTACTTTAAACAACATATGTGAAATCAAGTTTTATAACATAATTATTTTCGTTTGTATTGTTCGATATAAGAATATTAATAGTAATAGTGTTTCTACAAAATGAACTGAAACTATTTTATTTTCAATACTGAATATTTCAAACTAATAATCTGTAGTTCACAAGTTCACCCAACAAAAAGCCACGCATTCTCATCATAGTCGTCATTAAATGCTGTTCCTGTCAACGTTTTTTTTCTCATTGGAATATGTTAGAATCACAGTAACATATATTATACCTGGACAAAAATGGGGTCTGGAAATAGTCATAGTTATTATCAAAATTGATTTAGTTATAACGTGTGAAATGACTTGGAATTTGACAGTGTTGTGTTTGATTTAACTTAAATCACTGATAGGGTATAGTTTTTTTTTTTGTTGTTGAAAGATTTGATTTACTATTTTGCTAGCTATTAAGTAGTTTAAACAAGCACAAAACTCAAAATTGATAAACGTAGCCATTTTTTTAATGATTGCCTTCAATTAGATTACACACAATTGTTAAATCACCTCATATTAATTTACAAGACGCCAAAAAATAATCAATAGATGTAATGCAATATTGAGACCTGAAACGAAAAAAAAGCACCTGAAGGAAAAACAATGCCAACAGTTTCACATCTACACATAATACAAAGGAAAGTGAGGAATAGAAAAGGGAATTCATTCATTTCACAATCTACTAGATTGATTTAAGTTAAAGGTTAAAATGACCAGATATCATTATTAATATTCTTGCATAATATTTATGCAATAACGTATACACACTTACTTGGGATTGAAAATGAACATTGTTCTTATTTTTTCATCCAGTCAATTTATATTTTTATTTAAAACTTGAAATTATTACACATTATTTTTTTTTTATTTGTCTTTTGATTATATATTTTTTTTTCTAGACAATGTGTATCAGTTTGTCCTCTTGGGACTACAGCTTTTGGTGCTTTACGTCTTGGTACTTCGTTAAATAATTATGCTAATTCTAATGCTAATAATATTAACAACATAAGTGATAATAATAATAATGAACAAGATGTACATGTTCGCAGTAAACTGGCAACACCCTCATCATCAACAACAAAATCACCATCACCAGTTGGACGTATACGAAGTAGTAGTAGTAGTCATAGTCCTTATCCATTGGATATGTATAGTAATGATAATCATTTTATCAATACAAACAATTATAATTATAATCAACAAGGATTTAAAAATGAAATGGTCTGTCAACCATGTTGGTCATTATGCTCAGCTTGTATACGTCCACATATTGAATATGATTGTACAGCATGTTTAAATCAACGTTTTCTAGTGCCATTATTAACAGCAAATGATGATGCTAAAACAGTATTATTCTCATATACTCAGGATAATAATAACAATAATAATAATAATAATCATGGAAATACACAATTTGTAAATTTTAATTTACCTCAAATAATTGGTACATGTCGTACTGAATGTCCAGTGGGTTTTTTCGGTAATAAATCAACGTCAGTATGTGAAGCGTAAGTTAATTTTGTATGCATACATGAGATTGGCTTGTTATCATTGATTATTAATTATGTATATTTCTTTTCTTGTTTCTCTGATTGCTATTTCAACTCGTTATTTATTTTTTTTACATGTTAGTACTAGTACTTTGGGTGGATTCAATCTTATCCGTAGTTATTGATTTTTTGTATCATTCTAAGTGATTCGATATCACATGTACATTACTAGACAATAGAAAAAATCATCAAATAGCTCTGAACCTAGGTTGCACATGTAGTTTTACGGAAACCAAAGTTGTGTCGCCCACTGTCACAGTTTGAGACGTTTTCACTAAGTTATTCGAATCTTAACCGAACCTCTTATAAAACAGGTTTTCTTTTATCTAAACACATATTTATTTGTATGAAAGGGCACCCTGATATTTATGCGTCATACAAACTAATGAATTTTTCTATGAACTGGGATACAGTCCGGGTGCTCGAACTGAAGCATATAGTTTTCTTAGGAGGCTTTGACCTAGAGGTCTAATACACAGGTCAGCAGAGCAGTTCAGTTTTTAATGCGCTCTAATTACATCGGCAAAGTTACAATTTGGTCATTTGTTAAGGGTTTTTTTTCTTCTTTCATTGAAGAATTTTTGTGAAGTATTACAAATTTAATCAGCTTGACATTCAGAATCTGAATTACCTGTGCATAATTTTGTTTTTTTTTACTAGTAGAACCTTTTTAAAAATAATATTCGAATTTTTTTTGGCATATTTCATTATGGTGGTACATTATCAATAACTTGATAAATGACATTTTATGTTTACAAGTTAATCTCGTTTATTGTGGTTAAAAGTGTTTTTTTTTCTCTCTCTCTCTCGTGTAGTTGGCTTCATTCTACTGTATTGTAGTCTGATGCATGTTTGTGTTTACACCGGATGAGTAGTAGGCTGTTAATCCAATAATACTGCAATGCTTTGACGTCATTTTAGACACGTTGACAATGACTCATGTATTGAAAAATAATTTGGCAGGTTAAGTTAATCCATTAGTTATATAGAAGTTGGCCGCTCACCACGAAACTTGATGGTTCTGGACTTTGTCTTTAGTGGGTTGTGGATGTTCATTGTTGAAAAGTTACATATAGTAACGAAAAACCTTTTCAATGCTACTTGTTTTCTGACGGTTACCTAAGGTTGGCTAGTGTTGTAAACTGCGAAATCCATTGAGCTTCACAGGCACCTTGTGTGAATAAGTTGATTATCCATCATTTTTGTCCATCGTAACAGATTTACGTAACATGAATTTCGTAACTTAATGGATCACTCATTTAAAACGCTGGTCATGGGATGAATAGGGGAAAAACATTAAATTTAGACATATTTGGACAATCGGTTCAAGTATGTATGTATGTTACACATGAACGTAAACATGTCATTTTGGTATGCTTGAATTATTACGAGTTTACCTTAGTCGGAAAACGAGAGCGAGGATCGAGGATCTGGCGACACGACATGCTACTCTAATCCGATTGTCCCAACCCTCATTGAGTAAAAGAAGAAGACTTGATATGAAGTAGAACTTGTACTCTACAAGCATCCAGAAAGTACAAGGCCCGAGTCCAGAAGAAAAACAGCATCCTGGACTAGGGATCCGGGACCGGTTCCTGGTCCTGGTCATAAAACGTTACAGATAATGCGTATTTATACATTTTGGTCGAATAGGAAACAGCATCGAAGTCTGTGACATTGACAGTTAAGACGACCAATAGGAAACAACATTGGAGTACGTGACATTGATATCTAGGACGACCATAAAATTGACCAGTAGGAATTAACCAATAGGAATTGAACCAATAATTCTCTTAGGATATTGGATGAATATCCTAACAATGTAGCAAACTGACAGAAAATAAAAAAATCACAGATGGAAGTAATATCATTGTGAAACTACTTTTTATTCTCCATAAAGTTATGCAAGTGATGTGAATTTAAGAAACATACCAACATGAAATACCTTGTTTTTGAGATGGTGAAGAAAATTTGTAACTCAGGAGGTTGATTGTGGTTGTGTTTCGTTCTCTGTTGATTTCTACTTATATTACTTGTTCTTTAACTAGCAATTTCAGTGTTCTTATCTCTGAACCAAAATACCGAATATTCCACTATGTAGTTTAGTAATGTAAGTAGAGGTCTTATGAATAAGTGACATATCATAGTTTGATGTCTCTGTATATATGACTTACTCCATTCTTCTCTTTCTTCTATTACTACTTCTACCAAATTTATTCCAGCCTTGGTTAAGGATTGCAGTGGATGTTAGTAATTTTGAAATTCAACGCCGTCTTTGTTTTATGATCTTAACACCTAGTTTTTGTTTTGTTTATTTTTACATTTTAAAAATTATTTATCAATATATATATATATATATATATATATTTACCATGTTTACTTAATTAATAACCCTAGTTTATCGTGTAATATGCAAGACTTGTAACATATAAAACAAAATGACATTGTTTAATTGTTTTCGGACATAAAAATTTCTAACTTGATCATAACATTATGCTTAGTTTTGTTTCGGAAACGTAAACGTAAGTTTCATGATTACGTATGAATTTACGCTGTTATTTCTACGCTTTATAAACAGATTATGTTTTTAAAATAACCTGTACATGTTTACATAGAACAACTCACTTAACAGCTGTATGTACTTGTCTTCAAGTCACACTCTTAGTATGAGAGAAAGTAACACCACCTAGCCATCATGCCGGAATTCAATGAGCAGGGTTCGAGTTTGGCTAAAAAACCAAGGCTTCAATCGCTGAGTTTCTGCTCCCGTTCCTAGTGAATGTAACATTGGTATTTATCTTTTATAGTAGGTGGATGGAGCTAATTGACAAGAAACCCTAAACCTAGGTTTCGTGCCAGTTGGCAACTGTCAACAACGCTTACCTGAAAATTGACCGATGTTCCTGGGTCACTCATTCTCATAGTCTAAGATGTTACCACTGAGCTACTCGTGTCAGTTATCTCTTATGAATAATTAACTCTGACATTTTTTGAGTATACATTTTTTAGATAAACTTTCCAGTGAAGAGCGATCCTCTTGAATGAGGATTGTAGAGATATGATACCGACATCTATATATATATATATATATAACATCTATATAACAGTTATCAAATCTTTAAAAAATGTTGAAACCCCTTTCTCGAGATAATAAATATCAATTAACATGAAACCTTTGGACCGATGGATTCATGTCTGTTGTACTTAATCTCTTAACATGAAACAAATTGCACTGTAATATCGAATTCTTTAGTCTAGAAATCATTAGAATTCATTAGAATTCAACTAACACTAGGCTCTAAGTAATTTAACATCAATTAAAATATTTTATTTAATATGCTATCAAAAAAGAATTACAATCTTTATGTTCGCATAATTGTCTATGTGAAAATAAACTTCTGTGTGTGTTGAATTTCATAGTACACTATATGGTGAAAATATTATCATTTTTGTCTTTGTTTTCATAATTGTTCATTTGAAAGATGTTTGAATTAATCTAAGACTTTTACTGTTTGTACAGAAAAATATCATATTTAATCTGTTGTGAAATATTTATGTTAATCCCCAGTGAGTGACTCAAATGTTCATCCACGAATAATTTATTTTAGCATGAACAAATAATGCTAAATTATTGACATACTAAGCCATGAATATTTATCATCATGCAATAATTCTAATTCCCGTCAGTATAAAGTATACTTATTACAATGGCTAATTATTATTGTCGATCGATAAAGTTAATAATGTCAAACTTCAATTATGCAAGGTCACACATAAACTGTGCATTTGATCAAATCATGTATGAGATAAAAAAACTCGTTGATGACACTGATTGGTTGAATCAATTCTAGATTATAATTATTAATTACTCCTCACTTCATTTGTTGATTGCCATAGTTTTTACATCTGTTACGCCTGCACATAAATACGTAATTTTGATATGCTTGAACTATTACGAGTTTACCTAGTCAGAAAACGACAGCGAGTATCAAGGATTCGGCGACACGACGTGCTACTCAAATCCGATTATCCCAACCCCCATATTAAGCAAAAATAAGAAGACTTGATATGAAGTAGAACATGTATTCTACAAGCATCCAGAAAGTACGAGACCCGAGCCCAGAAGAGAATCAGGATCCCAGACTAGGGATCCGGGGCCGGGTCCTGGTCCTGTTCATAAAACGTTACAGATAATGCGTATTTATACATTTTGGTCGAATAGGAAACAGCATCGAAGTCTGTGACATTGATAGTTAAGACGACCAATAGGAAGCAACACTTAAAGTGACATTGGTAGTCAGGACAACCAATAAGAAACAACATTGGAGTACGTGACATTGATATCCAGTACGACCATAAAGTTAACCAGTAGGAATTAACCAATAGGAATTGAACAATAATTCTATCAGGATATTGGATGAATATCCTAAAACATCAGTACCCCATATCATACTACTTCTGTATGAAGAAAGAATTGTTATATTGATTATCCTTAATTAACCATAAGGTTACCCTGAATTGATAACAAAGTCGATAAATCAAAACGTGATGGTTTTGTATTCGAAACAATACTTCTTTATTATCAATCTATTCAATTAACTGTTTAGATTAGATCAGATATTGTTTTTTAAGTGGATACATTGATTCTTCATTTATATCTTTCAGTTATATTTCTGTATGAAAACGTGAATTTATTGAATGAAAGCCCTGCGTAATAATATATAGGCTTATTATTTAATTTATTCTATTATGAATGGTAAATAATAGATTCACTTAAATTTAATCCTAACTGTGAACAGAATGATTTCAGTTCAACTGATCATATCATTTTTTTTAATGAAAATCTGGTCGAATGGAACTAGTTCCGATGTTTTGTTTGTTTGTTATTTCTTAATGAAATACTTATGTTTTGTTTTGTTTGTGTATATGTACTGTGGTGTCAGTTGGAGAACCGCATAACTATGGTGTATGAGCATGCTACAATCCAAACAACAAATGGGTCACTAATTATCATTTCAAATTATATCAGCAAATTACTTATATGAATTTAATTTACGTCACATTTAAAACATTTCAATTAATTGTGTATAGTGTAAATACTCTGGTTATATATTTCTCTGCTTAATAACACACACACACACACTTAGTTTCATTGCCTAGTTGTACTGATATAAGATTAATAATATGATATTCTAGTGGAGTTAAAATTCATTAGTTATTATTTCTTTCCGAAATTCATATTCCTATTGATTGAATTTTTATTTATTTTAATAAAATCTAGGTGTGCAGAAAATTGTGCACGGTGCGTTGGATCAAAGTCGGATGAATGTCTTGAATGCTATTCCGGTTTTCGATTAATTCATGGCAAATGTGTTGATAATGCATCACCTGATGGTCGTTGTAAATCGGGTATGTTGATGTATCTTTAAATGCTTTGTTTATATCTCTTGTTAGTATTAAATCTCTTTGAATACATTTCACTGCAAATAAACATTTCTGTACCTAAATAGATGTTATAAGCAATGTGATAAAGTAAAGCATTATACCGTAAACTTCACAGTCAGTCGTGATAATAATAATTTGAAGTTGTGTGTACGCATTGTTGAATATCCTAGCATTCACACTACCTAGTAAATTATTAGCATTGAGGAAGTCTCATCGTTCTCCAATTGACCTGCCTGGCATGGTAGAACCTACAGGAACATATGTTCCAGCCAGTATAGCTCGGTTGGGTCATCACGATAAGTAAGCCCAACCACCACGTCAAGGTGACAGCTACGGTCGGGACTGAGGAAGTCCGCCAGGTATATGTAATTTATCACAACTTACTTACGATTATTACGCTGTTCTGTGTTTTCATAACACCAGCTTAGAATTACACGTCTCTGTCAATAATCTGGTAAATGTGCAACTTTACGTTGCTTATTTCTCACATTGATTATGTTTCGTTAACACAAACATCTCAAGATATCACCAGAGAGTTATGCAGAGTTTATTGATGACCGATTTATGAATATATTTATTGTAGATTGAATCTTTGAGTCAATTAAAGACATAATATAAAAACTGAGTTAGCTGTGTTAAATAACAACAATGATTGATTGATGAAAAGTGTTAGGTCATTCAGTTGTAATACAACAATATTCAATTTCTAATCATATTCATTGTTGTTAAATTATGAAGCTTTGATATGTCAAAGTAGTAATGAGTATAACTACTCATTCTCTCTTAAAATTTCTACCTAACAATGTGGTGGAGATTGACAGTTGAATCATCTAACTTAAGTAAACAATAGATGTGATCGTACCTGAAAGCTATAAAAATTTCTGTATGTTTAGGTATAAACTACTTAATATCTTTTCTGTTATATTTAAGTAGTATGCATAGATTCCTTTTTATTTTTAACATTTCTGTTCATACCTTGAAATTTGTTTCCAAAGGACAATACTTGAAACATTCCAAATGTGTAGATTGTCATTCATCTTGTGATAAAACCGGTTGTATTACATCAGATCAATGTATATGGTGTCCTGCTCACTTACCGTAAGTAAATGAATTTTTTTTAAAATTATTTCCAAAATTAATTTATTCTTATGAACCTGTTTTTATTCTCTAATAAAAGGAGTTTAACAGACTAATAGATGATCAATTGTGGTCAGCAATTGAAAGTCAACGAGAAATTAGGAATTGCCAATCGATTGATAAGCTTTTGATATTTTTATTGTTTCAGAGAATATTTTACTGTCGCTGAAGAAAAAGATTCTCTTAGATACAGTTATTCATTGAAGCTGTATAATTGTATAGATATTAATCTAACAAGTATAACATTCTATTTAAACATTGTATAAACAATGTTCACAAATTTCAATTACGGAAAATAATATGTAGATGTAGTCGGTCTATAAATTAAGAAATATGTAAGATATTTATCTACTTGAGAGAAGATATAAGAAATAAATAAAATTAAAACAACATAGATATAAACGAATAATACTGTTTCCGATTAGGTCCTCATCAGCCTTTATTTACTTAAATATACATGAATATGTAAACGAAAATATTAAACTAATTAAGGTAATTTATCAGCCGACAATCAGGCAGTAACTACCAAAGAAAAATGAGTGAGGTCGCCCAAAATCTGTAGATTGACCAGAGTTACACATTAACACTGTTGGTTGCCGGTACATTGGTCCAGAGATCAGGTGTTCGCGCGCAAGACCGAAGGTCCTGGGTTCGAATCCTGCGAGGTGCAGAAGTCTTGGATGCGCGCTGCTGATGAGTCCCGTACCAGGATGAAATGGTCATCCAGTGCTTCCAGCATTCTAACGGTGGTCTAACAATGATTGATTGATGATTTCAATGTGCAACAAACACTAATCTCCATAACTCTAATTGAAAAAAGGAAGATCATAAGAAAGCAATAACAACAACAACAACTACAACAACAGATGATCGAGTAACTGAATCTGTAAAATGTTTTGAAGTGATAATGTAAATTCATTAATTTACCGAAATTTTATACATTATTATTATTACTACTGTTTCAATCTTGTGGCAGTTGTGTTCGAACAAATCGTTCCTGTTCTATAAATATGTATCATATATATATCTGTTGAACCACTGTTACAGTTATTAAATGGTGTACAATTTGAACAGTATTTCCAATAATTTCTGTCTTAATATATATATTTTTTCTCTATTTTTCTTATTTTTCCTATTTTAAATCAAGAAACTTTTTCAATTCAACCTGTATAAAATCTTGTCCAGAAGGTTGGTATTCTGGTGAACAAATTCAACCACCATTTTATACCAATTTTGTACAGAATGTAATTTCATCTCTAAAACAACAATCCATACATATATGTGAAGCATGCTCACCTGGTTGTCAGAAATGTATTAATTTCAGTGTATGTATCATGTGTTTACCTAATTTGAAACTATACAATGGTACATGTATATTATTGTCTTCAGATACTATCAACACAACTGATATTTCTTCATCCGATAACAGGTTAGTTAATATATTCCCAAAAAAAATAATTCATGAACATTCTATTCTATTCTAGTCAGTTCAATATTCTAATGCCTTGTACAAATGATGAACATGAGATTAATTTATTTGTGAAAACACAGAGTGTATAAAGTCAGTTTTTGGTGTTGTGAGAATTTCTGTAGCTTTTTAGGCAAGCTAATGACAGTAGTCAGTCAGTCAGTCAACAACAACATAGAACTTCATACGTACGTACGTCAGTCCAAGTTTCCATACCACATTAGCTCAGAAATGTGATTGTCACTTCAAACCCATATTAGTAGAGGTAGTAGAATTATTAGCAGTAATGGTGAAGATTACAGTTCGAAGATTATTATTCAAGAAGCATAATTCAGCGAGATAAGTTTAGAAGGAAAAAGATAGAGATGAGGAGAAATTTAGAAGATTAGGATTTAAGAGAACTAAAAGAATGGATGTATCTGCACCATTGCAAACGATTTTGAGCTGTGTGTTTCAAAGTCTTCGCCCCACGATTGCTATCGTCTCGCTGACCCCAAATCCGGTAGTCTACATCTGCCAACATGACTCAGTTCACTTGTCAGTAACTTCATGGATTTGTGCCATGTTTTTGTGTTGGTCACCCCTAACTTTCTTCCATCCCATTCCTACATTACAAAACATAGCTCGACGTGGCATTCGATGGTTCCACACAGTAATATAGGGATGAGATTTTCAAAATAATTTTAAGCAGAAATAAGAAATTAAAAAAGAACAACTCTCTTCATACAGTAACATGTTAAGTTAAATAGCTAAAATAAGTAACAGCCAATCGGATAACATTAAAGAATATTGCGAAAGTATAAATTCAGAAAAATCTAATCTAGTTTATCTTTTCAAGAAAGAATTAACATGTAATCATAGAGAAACTAGATAACTTACTTACTTAAGCCTGTTAACCCCAATGGAGCATAGGCCGCCCACCAGTTTTCTCCAACCAACTCTGTCCTGGGATTCCCTTTTTAGTTTTTTTCCAATTTTTGTTCATTCTTCTCATGTCTGTCTCCATTTCTTGGCGTAATGTGTTCCTTGGCCTTCCTCTTTTCTTTTAGCCTTGAGGGTTCCATGTGAGGGTTTGGCGTGTGACGCAGTTGGGTGCTTTTCGTGGTGTGTGTCCTAACCACTCCAAGAGTTTCTTCCTGATTTCCTCCTCCACAGAGTAGACAACTGTTAATAAGCACTTGTATCTTGTGGATGATGGCTGTGGTAGATCTTCAAGTTTCCACTCCATACAGTAGAACTGTATTGAGATTTTATTGAAAATCCTCATAACTTGGTCTCATCTTAAGTCATGTTTACACATAGCTTATATGCAATGTTATGGTTAAAATAAAATTCTTATTATTAGATATGATCAGTTGACTTTCTCGTTATTTCCATTTATCAAAACTAATACAGCATCCTTATTTATTCAGTTCCATTTTCTTGTCATATATCTTTCTTCTTTTATTCACCTTTAGTCAGATTAATAACAGAAAATCACCAAACCAATGCAATACTGAATCATGTTCAATATGTTATGATAATAATGGTTCGGAAAAGATTTGTCTTCAATGTTCACCAAATTATCACTTACTTGAAATTACACTATTCAATAGCTTATTACAACAGGTTGATGTGTTCACTGAAAATCCGAGTAATTTTCCAACATCCTCTATGTCATCCATTCTATTATCTCCTCCTCCTAACACATCATCATCATCATCATCATCATTGTCGACATTAGTGGGATTGAATAAAACAACTAATTCAACTATAATCTCATCAATTATAGCTGGACTCACTGCATTGTCATCAGCAGTAACAACAACAATGACTAATATGACAATACCGACATCGCCAACAACACCGCCAACTCCCATTGTTGACACAACTAAAACAACAACAACAACTATGGATGTAAATAATCTACCTAATTTATTCAATAAAATTATGCGGAATCATTTAGCATTGATCTCGCGACGTTTTGTCAATGATAATAATAATAATAATAATGAGAATATGAATATTCATGATAATGAATATCATGCTACTACAAATAATAACAACGTGATGAATATAGTTCAACCGAAATATATTTGTGTACAACATACATGTCCTAATGGTTATTATTTAAAAACTTGGCTAATTCATGACCAGGAAATAACAATGTGTTCCATGTGTCCACCTTCATGTTCTAGTTGTAAAGGTAGGCTGTGTTTTTCTTTTGGAATATAATTCATTGAATTTTTTTTAATAATGTGAATGATATTTTATGTGTAATAATTAAAAATATTAATTCTGATAATATATATATTAGATTTATTTATTTACACATTTGAAATCATTAATCAATCATTGCTAGACGTGATTAGGCGTTCGCGCACAATACCGTAGGTCCTGGGTTCGAATCCTGAGAGGTGTAGGGGTCGTGGATGCGAATTGCTGATGAGTCCCATACCAGGATGAAACGGTCGTCCAGTGCTTCCAGGTTTCTAATGTTGCTCTAACAATGATTGATGATTTCAAATGTGTAAAAACACTAATCTAATTGAAAATTTATTTATTCATTTAGCCTAATTATAATTCCCAGAATAGAACAAAAAACACATTGAACACTTGATTGTTCTGTTCTTTTTTTCTTCATTTTGTTTTATTTCATGCCTATAAATAATAAATTACCGTCAGGAGCACAATTTTTGTTCATAAAATGTTTTCTTCGGTTTAGATTTAATCAAAGTGCAAAGCATTGCTTTTATGGATTGAGTTGTGTTAATATTCTAGTTATGTTTTGAATACATCGTTTACACTACTACTTGACGCATAAATATGCGATGAATATGAACTTGGGGATAAAGGCTTTTTCTCTTTGAACCATATTGAACCATATATCACTTTAGTTAAAGTTCATAGTAGTGAATTTATTAAAGTTCATTTATATTATGAGTTAATAATTACTAGAAAATATGATTTGATCACCATATATATATATTTATAAGTACCTCTTGTGTTCTTTAAGTCTAATTTTACTCAATTTCTTTAAGGAAAGTTATAGTACTTTAATTTCTCATTTTTTCTTAAATAACGCATACAAACACACACATACATATATGTACAATTCTTTTATTTCTCTTCTCTATAAATAGTGATTGATTTAGTTTTGAGAATTTTGAAAGATTCTACTGATTCATTTATTTATAATAAAAAATTTTTCTCTCATCATTATAATATACTTTTGGTTTTTGATTTTAATGGTAAGTTATTATGTAATTGAGTTTCTTTGGAAGATTTTAGCTTTCACTGTATTTATTAGTTATGGAATCAACTTATTTCATTGAGTTTTTTTTATGGATTACAAGCATTGTGTACTGTTTGGAACTAATCCATTGAATATGTGTATATACATTATAACGTTGATATCATTCACTGGTCATTGAACTCTTGTATTCGTCACTGAGTAAACTTACATTAAATTCATTGATCAATATAGATGTTTAGTTAGTTAGTTAGTTAGGCAGGCATAAAGTTGAGATTCTATTGATAAATAATTGATTAGTTTATATTATGTTTTGTAGTTTGATTTTTTGAAGATTAAAATAACTTGATGATATTTCTCATTAGAAAGTTAAATAAACTTGATAATCGTTTCTATTTCATGTTTGTTAGAAATTATCCAATAATAAATATTCTTGACATTCAAAATAAAAAAAACTTACACTTTCTTGAGAACACACGAATCAACCTCTTGTGATCAATATTCTAAGGCTTCTTGTCAATTCTCGGTATTTTACCATTATTCTTTGTTGATAACAGATAATCGATCAAAACCTCTGTATTCTATACTTCATGGTTGTCAGTACTACTCATTAATTAACTCTGTATTTATGGTCTTATGGAGACTGGTGCTCCCTGTGGTATTCAATGTCACAGTCGTAGATATTATCATTGAACTATTCACACTACTAGTGACTTGTTTTAGAACTGAAATTTTCATAGAGATTTATCACTGAGTAATTTTATTGTAGTTTCTAGTGTTAATTGAATTCTATCGATTAGGTTTTTAAAAAAAACCATTACTAATCTATGTAACTCAACAAGATGTTCTGGATTTAAATTTAATTTTTTCAAGGTATAGGGGAATATGACATTTGAAAAGAATAAGTATAATTTATTGGAACAGAATAACATCATTTCATTTCCATCTTTCACAATATAAATAATCAATATAGATTAACATACTTATGCGAATAAAGTCGGATTTAAAATTTCATTGTAAACACATTAATTAGCATGATGTAGTTAAAATTATCTTGATTAATTTCTCTATTATATGGTTGGTTATCTAATCCAAAGCGTCATAATAACATGTATACTTTAGTTTGAATACACTTTGTGATATATTCGTTGTTTTATTAAAGTAAAATAATCGTTTGTATTATTTTAAGAGAATTTATATCTTTTAATCGTTGTTTTTCTTGGTGAGATTTTTTTATAAATTACTTTATCCATTTTATCAACAGAGATGGATGGTGACTAATGGTAGAATTCAGAATGTTTATTCCGTCCTATCTGGTACTCGTCAGCTGGGTATATCTACATACATCCCAGAGTTGATGCTCACTCCGATACTGAATCCTAGTACTGTTCGCTTCAAACTCCATCACACATTGTTCACTTAGCTACTGGGTTCAGATAGTCAGTGCCATAGGGTGAAGTTTAATTCATTGGATGTTTGAAACTCGATAGTGTTTGAAGAGAATTGTACTGGGTTAGAGTCTTGGCGTGAACATCAACTCTAGGATGCAGATAAACCCATCTGACGAATCCCAAATTTGGAGGTAACACGCATCCTGGATTCCACTGTTAGTCACCAGTCATCTCTGCTCATAAGGCTTGTGACACTCAATGGCAATATCGTAGCAATGCATATAGGATGTATAGATAATTTTTTGTTCACTATTTCGCATTTTTAAAATTAATTATGTCGGCGATGATGATGATGATGAGGGTTTTTTATAAATCGTTATTTCAATAATTTATTCTCATAACTTTATAATTTATAAATTTCTTCTTTATTTCATTTCGTTTCATTATTGCCTTTTATGTAGATATAACACATTGTAATTCGTGTCGGCCTGGTTTTTACCTTCATAAAAAAACGAATTATTGTTTAATGCGTACCACCTGTCGTACTTCTGAATACTTTGATGAAGATAAAGGTGTAAGTGGCATACATTATCTCATATTTATATATATATATATATATATATATATATATATATATACTACTGTTTAAAGAAACTTATTTATTTTATAAGTGATATGCTTCAGGTATCGTCTTCTTTTGAGATACCGTTCAAAGCGAGAGATTAATGAATAATTCTGTTGAGCGCTACTTACAAATTGGCGGCCTACTTGAATATTTGTTTCGTAACATCAAAATATCACAACAAGTTACGCCTTTTTGTATGTTTTAAGATGCCAGTTGTGTCTATTAAGTGCATAATCTATCCAGGTGCGTTTATAAAAAGTTTACAACTTATCGCTTCAAAAGAAATAAAAAGTACAATCGGAAACATTGAAGTGGCTAGCAATTTGTATCATAAAGGAAACCTGTTGAAATATTCTGTGCTGAGAATTCCATATTTCTACTAAACATATGACAATGAATAAAAACTATCATTGTTTTTTTTTTAATTAATACTATTACTATTCAAAATCATACTCCGCAAAATAAAATGAATTCATCTTTTACTGCTACATTTGTTCTACTTGCGCTATCTAAATTTATCAACGAGGAAAACTGTGTGAAAGTGATTCAAAACCTGAAAACCATTGATGACCATTTCATCGCATTACTAACACTCATGTAGGTGATTCTCTTACCGAACTGTTACGCATGAACGTAAACATGTCATTTTGATATGTTTGAATTATTACGAGTTTACCTTAGTTGGAAAACGAGAGCGAGGATCCGGTGACACGACATCCTACTCTAATCCGACTGTCCCAACCCCTATTAAATAAAAGACTTGATATGAAGTAGAACGTGTATTCTACAAGCATCCAGAAAGTACGAGGTCCGAGTCCAGAAAAGAATCAGCAGAATTCGGGTTCGGTCCACAAAATGTTACAGATAATGCGTATTTATACATTTTGGTCGAATAGGAAACAGCATCGAAGTCTGTGACATCGACAGTTAAGACGACCAATACGAAACGACATTGGAGTACGTGACACTGATTTCTAGTACAACCATAAAATTGACCAGTAGGAATTAACCAATAGGAATTGACCAATAATTGGATGAATATCCTAACACGAACCTGTTATCAAAATAGATTCATAAACAAATTATTCTTATATACACTCATAGTTTTGTAACAAGAGTTGCCAATTTCTGCTGAATACACTTTATCCACATCCTTTTCATGAGCAGCGAACAATCTATCTCACTTTTAAAATCGCCAGAGTATATTTACCATGTAAAATTACTGAGTAGTACTTTCTTTAACTATCCTATAAATTCTCAGCAATATGAGAAAGTGAACTGTATTCTATACCCTCAACTGTAACAGTTGGTTGAAAACCTATCTATAATAGATTTGATAGGAAAACAATGTGTAAACGAAGAGAAACACTGTCTTATTTTTTTACTGGAATGTTTTGTATCATAACAAGATTTATTTGCTTTGTAAAATTAGATATCCTTTATTTCTCATTTTTATTTATTTATAAAAAATGATATGCTTAGTTCATAAGTTTGTGAAGATTAGTTTAGATTGAAATTGGTTTTTGTAAAAAAATTAATATTCACTGAAAAGTTATTGAAAACAATAAACTATTGGCCAATCTGTTTCGTCTCACAATGAAATGTTTGCATTTACAACTCTTAGCTTACTGAGCTATTAACTAAAGTAATAAGTGAAAATTAAACTGAATCCAGGATTTTTAAAAAAAACCGCAGAATTCAATTGATTAAACTTGTTTAATTACCAAAATATAACATTCTTTTTAGATAATTTTAACTCAACTTTCCATTTAAAGAAATATTTAATTTACTTTTCTGATGTTAGGGGATCAGTCAGTCAGTTTCAACGTAGAACTTCTTACGTATGTACATAAGTTCAGGTTGCCATACCACATTAGCAAATGTCAAATCAAGTCCCATAGTGATAGAGATAGTAGAGGTAGGTATTAATGGTCATGAAGAAGACTAGGGTTTGAAGATATTATTCAAGAGGTATATAATTCAGTGAGATAAGGTTAGAAAGACAAAGGTAGAGGTGCTGACGAATCCAGAAGAGTAGGATTTGAGAGAGCTCAAAGAATGGATGCACTTGCGCCATTGCAAACGATTTTGAGCCATGTCGTTCAAGGTCTCTAACCATCGGTGACTTTCGTCTCGCGGACCCCAACCAGGTAGCCTACATCTATCAACATGACTCAGTCCACTTGTCAGTGACTTCATGGGTTTGTGTCATGTTTTGGTTTGGCCGCCCCTAGCTTTCTTCCAACCTACTCCTACACCACAAAACATCGCTCGTCAACGCAGTCGGTGGTTAGGCCTACGTAACACATGTCCCAACCACCTCAACTGATGAAATTTCACTACTTCATCTATTGATCTGCCATCCTTACCTAGTACTCGTTTCCTAACGACAGCATTGGTTACTCGGTTGTCCCACGATATACGAGCAATGCTTCTAAGACATCTATGAGATGTTATGGGATATAAATTTAATGTCCCTTAAATTTTATTCAATCATGTTTTTGTCTAACTTCATTCTTCAGATATGTCAACCATGTGATCCTAATTGTCGAACGTGTTCTGGACCTCATCCATTTCAATGTACCAGTTGTAATAGAAAACCACCAGCTCCACGTTGTTTATTGACAAATCAACGTGTTTCCAAATTACACAGAACTTCAAAAGATTTAGCTCTATGGACTGATTATTCAAATGTAGAGCCCAATTCTGGACAATGTTTACTTTGTTGCCCTTATCGATTGGCTTTGACTAGCCGTGATCCTACACATTGCATGTTTTGTGTTGCTGATAAACGTAAGCAATAAACTAATGTTTATCATTAGATTTCTACTATAGTCATTGTCATAATATATTGTGCTAGAGATTAACGATTTGATTCTGAATAATGAATATCTTTCATATTCTTTGATTTGTTGGCCTATATTCTCACTTTATTGCAACAATCATGTTTAAAAGATTAACATACAGGATGCACTGTATTTTATGTTCAGTAAATTATGAAAGCTAATCAAAATATGAAATATATTTGTCTGAACATAAAAAAACCCTGATAGTCTACTTAGTTCAGACAAATACTAAAGAAGATATGTTTAATATAATTACCAATTTTCAGTTTATTATATCATCAACTGGTTTGTAGTAATTTATTCGGTTTGGAGTTAATTTTCACATGGAAATAATCTTATTAGCTAGAGAGAACCATTAAAATCCATGAAGTACCTCTGAATCACTTTGAGATTCGTCAACAATCGACGACATTAAACATCTTACAAGGTGTTGTGACAATCATGATATACAACTAAGCTATTAAATTAGTATGTATTTATTATTATTATTATTATTATTATTATTATTATTATTTAATATGTTTTCAATTCAGTTGACAATATACCATGGTTATCATTCAGTGTAATGTGAATTTAAGAGGATTTCCCTTTTAAGATGACTTTCAGTTCACTGTTATTTCTATCAGTTTTATTTCAGCCAATGTGATTTTTCATTTTTTGTAACATTTGTTCCTTTATGTTGATTTGAATAAAACTTCATTGATTATGGTATGTAATAAAACGTTTGTATACTAATATGACAAATGCAAACGTACGCTGTTGGCAGCTGATGAGAAACCCTGAAACATAGCAAATACTATTCGCCTTACTTCATTGAAATTTATCACAGGATCAAGTGGTGTGAAACATTTGTTCAGTTTAACAAATTTATCAACTATTAATCACAAAATATAACCGGAATGTGTTTGAATGAGTTCGATATGGATTAATCTACTTTGATTTCTACCAGATACGTTTGTAGTGTCTCCACATATATTCCAGTTCGCTTACATCTAACTTGGTTAGATGTAGAAGAGCCACAAAAATAGCGTACTAAAATAATGCATCAGCCAATAACAGTCAAGGGTTTCCGAGTGAGAAATGTAATCTCAAGGTCAACTGATCAGTCCATGCGCGATAACACAAAATCCAGAAGTAGAACTGTTACGCTGCACGTAAACACGTCATTCTGATATGCTTGAACTCTTACGAGTTTACCTGGTCGGAAAACGAGAGCGAGGATCGAGGATCCGGCGACACGACATGCTACTGTATTCTACAAGCACCCAGAATCAGGATGCCGTACTAGGGATCCGGGACCGGGTTCTGGTCCTGGTCACAAAATGTTACAGATAATGCGTATTTATACATTTTGGTCGAATGAGAAACAGCATCGAAGTCTGTGACATTGGCAGTTGAGACGACCAATACGGAAGCAACATTTGAAGTGACATTTATAGTCAGGATGACCAATAAGACACACATTGCAGTACGTGACATTGATATTTAGGACGACCATAAAATTGACCAATAGGAATAGACCAATTATTCTCTTAGGATATTGGATGAATACCCTAACAAGGACATCTATCAAGTGAGTTCTAGGGATCTAACGTCCCCAACACTTACTATTGGCTGATAACCCCCCGAAAATAGTCAGTAAAGTATACATTTACCGTAACATCTTGTTTGCTCCTCAAATCGAATATATATATATATCGCTTTTCTTTTTATTCTTTTATTTTAATTTCATTTAACTAGCAATTTGTTTAGGCGGTGATGAAATCGGAGCTGGAGATAGTGGTTACATACTAGAAGATGTCAACAATAATGATCAATCATTATCAAAATTGTTCAATAAAGAACCGTCTCGTCTTATTCTATTGATTGTGTGTATTATATTTATTACATTATTAATTGTATTTATCATAGCTCATTTTATCACAGCACACCGTCGTCGTCATCGTGGCAGCTATCCGAAATATTGTAGTTGTTGTAAAAAACAACATCATCTACCTCCTAATAAACGTATAAGAAAAATTGTTACATCTGTTACTAAAAAACGTGAAGCGCGTCAATTAGCTTATTTAACTAATCATCACAATCATTATCATGATCAATATTTCACTAGTCCAACATCATTGGATAATACTAATAATAAAATAACTGAAAATGGTGAAAGTGAAGATGACAACAACGATGACAATGACGATGATGAAGATGAGGATGATGTACGAGCAGAACAAATTTCATTAAAATGTAAACGTATTAAAAATAATAAAATCGATATCGGATATATTGATCATAAAATGAATGATATTGAATTAACTGATGATTGTAATCATCATCAACAGCATAATGGCGGTACTAATCATCTCTACTATACTCCATCTCATAAATCATCATCCAATGGTAAATTACACAATGAACGTGTATATCGATTAAATATAGATGATTTAATCAATACACCACCAGTCAGCATCACTGTCACAACACCATCATGTACATTGAATACTACAAATACACATAACCATGTACGTTATAGTCAATTGAATAGTAGTGTTCTACCTGAAGATGATGATGATGATGACGATCATGCCGACGACAACAACAACAACAACAACAACAATAATGTTGACGATAATAATCACACTGATGAAAATGATACAAATAATAATGACATAACTGAGTCATACACAGTAGACGAAGATAACAGCTGATTAGTTAATTATTGACGCCTAGTCGTTATTTATTGTTGATTTATATGTCTTCTTCTTATTATTATTATCAATGTATTTTCGTCGAAAATGAAGATGTCGTTTATTCGTTCCTGTTGCCTTTCGTTTAAAAACAATATCTTGTTTTTATTTCCTATAAAAAACATGCTTTCTTCCTTGTATGTTCCTCTTTATTACCATCATATTTGATGATTACACAACCAACCAACCAACCACCATAAGTCATTTTATAAGATCTCAGTGAAATGTTAGAAAAATACTCATATAAAACTGGGCACACTATCTATCTATCTATCATCTTTGTTTATACAACTAACTAACTGCGTATACACAATCATTTAGTTGGATTTGTAAGACATTGTTAAGTTTACAATCACTACTACTTATTTTATACCACTGCCAATAATCATTGTTAAGTTTACAATCACTACTACTTATTTTATACCACTGCCAATAATCATAAAAATGAAAGAGAATAACAATCAATTATTTTTATGCTACTAATTTTTACTTCCTTCCTGTCTGTCTTTTTACATAATATATTTTATTAAAACAAAACAAATTACATGATGGCCTTATTTGGTTGGAAATGAAACATAATAGAATGAATTACTCTGTTTCACAGACATGAATTCATGTATTGTTTTATATGTTGTCTTGAATTTCTCGCTCGTTTCATCTCAACTTGTGTTGATGTAGAAATGTTAATGTACAGTGAGCAATGATCTGAATGTTAAAAAACTAACTAAATCTCTATCTATCTATCTCTGTTACTCCGAATCACACTCGGTAAGTAAATAAGCACAAATTTCATTATAATTGTAAAAAAAAAAATGAAACAAGCTGTGATGTTGTGTATACACTGTTTCATCTTGTTTAATTCTTCTATTCAATATCCTATTTGTTTGTTTTTTTCAATTCTCCAGTCAATATTTCTATATCTATACTGCTGCTTCACTCTTTTATTGTGTACATTCTTCTTTTTTTCTTTTCTCTGACATTTCGAATGTGTACATGTTGTGTAGGTAGGTTAGTTAAACCCTACCATTTTTATACAAAATTCAATCATACTCTTCATATTCAATCGATTGATATCAGCTTAATACACTACTCTCATTATTTGTTTGTTGTCTTCCGTTTTTGTTGTTTTGTATTTGTAATATTTTTTCCTTACAAATGTTAGGTTTACGGATTGCCTCTCCATTGATTGTAATTTTTAATACGATTGTCTAATTAGCCTTATCACCACAGCCTACTATTGCCACATTACAATCACCACTATTATTATTATTATTATTACAAATGGTAGTAATATTGTCAACTTGTTTTCTTCTTGTCTCAAGTTTACATCCAATATTTTTATTTTGCGTTTTGTTTTTAAACCTAATCTCTATTTTTTTTAATGATGTAAATTCTAAACTATGAAATGTGGAAGTCTCCTACTCCTACACTCTGTTAAGTGCTCTTTATGAATATGAAATGATCATCCACTATGTAAAATTACTTGTTATTATCTCGTTGAATTGTTTCACTTTTAACTGGTTTTATTGATGTTGATTGATACTTTTACTGCTGCTGCTGATGTTTGATGATAGCATTATTAATTCTACCCAGCAATATTAGCCCTTTTTTAAAATATCTATTTTCTTTTTAATGTTGATCGCGACTATAGCGTTGTTTTCGAAGTGTTTTGTTTTCCTCGATCGTGCTGTTAACCTCCTGTTTGTGGTTATATTCTCGAATGTGGTGATGAAAAGTTGTGAAAGTTAGAGTAAGTGAAAGAAAAACAGGATGTAACCTGCAGTTTGTATTATGTTTCAGCAGAACTGACTAATTATATAATCTAACTAATAGATTTCCATTAAGGTAGTATGTAAATATTGATAGGTTTGCCAAATATGAAATTGATGGATTTGTTGGACATAATAAAGGAATCTGAACATCATAATTGATTAGTTTCACGTTATTGCTGTAGTATCGAACAATAGTTGGGTCTAACGTAAATTCCGTTTTCAGATACACTGGGATTCAACTGTGAAATAGAAATTGCTTCCCTTAATGATTTCTACTGATCCAATGCAACTGCCTTTTTCCAACGTATTTACCCAGTTATCGATATTATAACTTTGATAATTCAGTCAGACAGTTACGACTTCTCACCAACGAACATAAGTTCAGGTTGCCATACCACATTAGCACAGAGATGCAACTGTCAGTTCAAATCCTATGATGGAAGAGATAGTAGAAGTATTACTGGCAATGGAGAAGATTAGGGTTCGAAGATATTTAAGAATTATAACTCAGTGAGATAAATTTAAAACGAGAAATCTAGAGATGATGAGGAATTCTGAGGATTAGAATTTCAGAGAGCATAAAGAGTAAGTGCACCTACGCCAATGTAAACGACTTTGAATCATGTTGTTCAATGTCTCCACCCAACAATTCCTATCGTCTTGCAGACCCCAACCAGGTAGTCTGCATCTGCCAACACGACTCATCTCACTTGTCGGTGACTTTATGGATTTGTGCTATGTTTTGGTCTGGCCGCCCATAGCTTTCGTACAACCTGTTCCTATATCGCAAAACAGCTCGAGGTAGTCGGTGGTTAGGCATACGTAACACATGTCCCGGCCACCTCAGCTGACCAAGTTTCAATACTTCATCTATTGACCTACCGTCCTTAATGTTACGAATACATGTATACACGTCAATTTGATATACTTGAATTATTACGAGTTTAACTTAGTCGGAAAAATGAGAGCAAGGATCCGGCGACACGATACTGCTACTCTAATCCCAGTGTCCCAACCCCCACTGAATAAAAGAATACTTGATATAAAGTAGAACGTGTATTCTACAAGCATCCAGAAAGTACGAGCTCCGAGTCCAGAAGACTTCCACGGTGTGGGAAACCGGGAAGTAACATCCGCCCTCATACCCATAAAAGCACACGAGACCAAATTGGTCACAAACAAATCCTTTCTACACCTCTCAATAGCTCTTATCTCCTCGACCAACCCTTCTTTCGATCGTTTATAACCTCACGACACAAAAGCAAACGGTACGAGCTCACGAAACATTATTCCTGGTCTCTTGAAACCCCGTACTAAATAACATATTGGAGCTTTTAATGTTCGGACCCTATGCCAAATAGGGCAACAGGCTCGGATAACTGCCTATTCCTAGCAAACACTAACTTTAAGCATAAAGTAAGACATCTTTTGAACTGGCGATCACCAAAGCCGACCCAAATAGATCACATTGCTATCAGCCATAGGTGGACAGGCTCTGCTGAAGAGTAACACTCATTCCGGAGCATTTGTTTAGACTCAGACCATGCTGTAGTGCGAGCACGTATTTGTTCACGCCTTACTGGACGCAAGAAAAATATCGCAAGGAAGCCTCTTACGGCTCTACTAAATGACAATACAGCTAAGAAATACAGTTCCGGAACTTCTAGAAAAACAGTTAGGCAGTAAGTGATGCCCACCCTGAGGCACCTTGGAATGATATGAAAAAGGCTGTGGAAACAGAAGTGATATCTGCTAATAAGGTAAACCATAAGGTTAAGGAGAAGCCGTGGATTTCAGTAGCATCTACCGAATTGATGGATGCTCGGAAGCTCATCCCGCCAAGTTCTGATTGCGATAAGGAGCGGAGTCAGCTCAGGCGCAGGCTGATAAAGTCTACGCAACGACCATGAACAGTGGTGAGTGGTGCAAGCAAGAGAGATGGAAGAGGCAGTGATAATAGGTAACAGTCGATAGCTGTTCCGCCTTATCAAGGAAACTGGTATTAGAAATCCATCTGTTAGCGAAACTATCTCAGAAAAGGATGGGACTATTATCTATTCTCAATCCAGGAGATTGGATCGATGAACAGAACGCGTCAGGGATGGCTTCAACTGGCCTTCAGTCACACTTCGGTTACCCACGATCTCCAGTCATCCTGAATGGCAAGTCGACGTACGTCCTCCGAAACCTTTATGAAGTTGAAAAAGCTATAGCAAATCTGAAGCGAGGTAGAGCAGCGGGTCCTGATAGATTGACCCCTGAGATATTTAAGGATGGTGATCCAGTTTTAGCAGCTAGGTTGACTGAGATCTTAGGTAGAATCTGGGAACTGGACGTAATCCCATCCGACTGGTCTCAATCACTGATTATCCCAATTTATGAGAAAGGACAAAAGTCTTCTTATGGCAATCACAGGGGAATAAGTCTAACTAATATAGTTTCTAAATTGTTAGCCTCGACTACGCTTTAGACGCTCAACTAGAAGTCGTGAAGATCAGACTAGAGAAACTTAGGCTGGTTTCAGAAGTGGACGTGGCTGTACAGACCACATCTTCACACTATGACAGGTCCTAGAACACAGATACATATTTAGGCGTCCTACAATAGTTGTCTTCTTGGACCTTAAGGCGGCATTCGACTCAGTGGATCGTGGTGTTCTGTGGCAGTGTCTGTCATTGAAAGGTGTACCAGAGAAGTACATTAACCTTATACAAGCCCTCTACTCTAAAACTACTGGTGGGGTGAGAGATTATGGCGAACCATTATTGGAACTTTTAACTTCATGTGGTGTCCGTCATGGATGTCCACTCTCTCCATTCTTGTTTAATTTTATCATAGACATGCTCCTAGATATAACCTTATCCTCGTCCGAATTTTCAGGAGTGGTCTGTTTACAAGGAGCCACGCTTGCTGACTTAGAATATGCCAATGACATACTCCTATTCGGTGAAGACGCTGAAAAAAATGCAGTCTTCTGATCACCCTAAGCGACAGTGCAAACATGTTCGGGATGCGGTTCTCACCCTCAAAATGCAAAATGTTGCTTCAAGATTGGGTTGTATCGCCACCTAAACTAGTAAAAGGGAGTGAAGTAGTCGAACGTGTAGACCGCTTCACTTATCTCGGGAGTCTCATCAGTGCTGATGGCCTGGTGACTGACGAAATCTCAGCGCGGATACAGAAAGCTCGATTGGCTTTTGCCAACTGGTGTCGTCCATGGCGTAGGTGGACGAGTGTACTGTTCAGCAGTTCGCTCCGTTCTACTATATGGATGCGAAACATGGCCGGTAACAGTTGAAGATATTCGTAGGTTATAAGTATTCGATTATAGGACATTTGTTACGAATGCCCAACCACCGACTCCCTCGACAATATGACTCAGTCAACTTGTCAGTTACTTCATGGATTTCTGTCACGTTTTGGTTTTGCCGCCCCTAGCTTTCTTCCAACCTACGTCTACACGACAATACATAGCTCGTCGAGGCAGTCGGTGGTTGGGCATTCGTAGAACATGTCCTAACCACTTCAACTGATGAGGTTTCACTACTTCATCTAATGATCAGCCATCCTTACCTAGTACCCGTTTCCCCAACAACGGCATCGCTTACTCGGTTTTCCCAGGATATACGAACAATGCTTCAAAATCAATCATTATACATGCGGTGCTCTGTCTATCAAAGGTTATTATGATTAGGATTCGCTAATAAGATTATACGTCTTCTGTAATAATAATAAGACTGGCGCATAATAATGCACTTGTTATTTAAATTCTATCATTACTATATAGTGTGCTGAATTATAATCAACCATATCAGACTGTCGAACAAAAGTTTTACAGCAAACAATTATTGTCAGTCAGATAATATGAATGTTACATTTAAATAAACACAGTAATAGATATCTAAACACTAATGATGAATTATTAAAACTCGAACATGAGAGGAATTCTTTAAAATTATTTCTTTTCTGAATTGACTTGAATGAAATATTATTGAGAATCTTCAACTATAGACAAACATCCTACGCAAATTCATCTATGATAGAACGATTTAGATATTCAAGGATGATAGTGTCATGTAATAGAGTGATTGTTAGTTTGCAATAACGTGTATTGTAGAGTATGAAGAGTTGAAATGTCATTTACATTATCATAACATGAAGGAAATACAGTAAGTTATAAGTTGGCTGCTTGTTGGTCTAACGTAATGTACATAACGAGACGACTAATAATGTACATTCCATGAGTTTACAGTAAAGGAACAATCGACTTGCCGAGGCTTTGAGAAGTAAACAACTCTATTTCAAAAGGAGCTTGTGTTTAGCTTTAGGTTAAATGAATGATTGATTAAAAAAACACTGTCTTTAACGTAATAATGACGCTTAGAGAAAACTGGTGATTCAAAAAACTTTCTACTTGCTATTCATTAGATATATCTTCAGCCACTATTCTTACAACTGTAAACCAGATGGAGTTTGTAATAATAATGTGCTATTGAGAGAATCCTTTTTTTGATAAAAAATATTAACAAAAACTATGTAGTCAAAGAAAATTTGTTAATATCATTATACACAATTTTTTAACAAATCAAATTAGAAATAATAAAACGAAAGAATTTCTTTTATACAAAAAAAGGTAATTTTCACATTTACTTTCCTAAGATCTTAAAAATGGTTTATTTCTAGCAATATGCTTGTCTAACTGCTCCCATATTTGCTGGAAATTCGCTTTGTCTAGATGTCGCCGTTGATCTAAATCAATAACGCGTACATTCCATTTGGCTACATTCGGATCCAATGGCATATTAGTGTACTTCAAGTGAAAACCTTTAACTTTAGAAA